TTTTTTTTTTTTCATACCAAGGATTGAACCTGGGGGGCACTTAATCACTGAGGCACATCTCCAGCCCTTTTTTTTTTTTTTTTTTTTCATTTTGAAACTGAGTCTCACTAAATTGTTGAGGCTGGCTTTGAAGTTGTGATCTTCCTGCCTCAGCCTCACCAGCCTCTGGGATTACAGGTGGTTGTGGCTGGCTTCTCTCACTTTGGATGCCCTGTGAGGCTCTGAGCACAGGGGACAGAGACCAGAGTTGGAAGCGAGGACACCTACCTGCATAGAGGCCATACTAAGCTGGGGAAGAAGTCACTTCCCTTCTCAGAACCATCTCTCTCCTATGAAACGGGGCTCTTTTCCATCCCTCTCCCCCCAAGTGTCTGTTCCCCACAAAGGGTTGCTCAGGTGACTGCCTATGTGCCCTCTAATGCCAAGTGACGTCCSGGGGTTTGCAGGCTTTGGGGCTCCTCCCTACCTCCCCAGGCCCCTCTTTCTCTGATCCACCCTAGGGGTCCTGCTCAGATGGATCTGCCTCAGCAGCATCCCAATCAGGCTCTGTCCTCCGCAGCCTGGGACCTGCTACCTGGCTAAAGGGTCTCCAGCCTGCCAGCGCCTCTGGGGGCAGGTACCACCGGGCCAGAGCCAGAGCAGGGGACGCCCCTGCCCCTCCCCTTCCTCTCCCCTCCCCCACTTGTCCACATGTCCACCTCCCTCCTCCCCCTTTCCCTCCCCCTCGGGCTCACCCTTTTCCCTCCTCCTCCCTAGGAAGCCACCCCCCAGCCCACGCCGGGCGACAAGCGGCACCTACCGAAGTAGAAGCCTTCGTGCTGGTACTTGGGGTTGAAGAAGACCCCCTTGGCATGGGCGTTGACGTCGGCGCCCGCCGCGATGAGCACCGCGGTGATGTCTCCCTGGCGCCGCTCGATGGCGATGTTCAGCGCCGTCTGCCCTGTGGACAGGCGGGGTCGGGCAGGGGCGCTCAGCGCTGGGACCCGGGGACCAACCTAACTGATCCAGGAATCCCACAGCCCCACGTGGCTGGGACTGCCTAGAAACACTGAAGGGAGGGCCTCAGAGACATCGTCAGAGGGCAGAATGGTGGGACAAGGTTGGTTTCTGGGGCGGCAGGAATAAATTGCTCCTTCTACTCTGCAGAGAGAGAAGCCCACCAGCAGGAGACAAATTCATGAAAGAAGGAAGAGATAAGGGGCATAAGAGGCCGCAGAGAAAGGAGAGGGGTAGGGTTTGTGGCCACTACACAAGGCCCTGATGAGATACTAATAACTTTAATTTGTCCACCCAATCAAAAAATCTATATTAAATGTCTCCAATGTGAGACCCTAAAAGCACCAGAAAATCAACTATGGGGAACGGACTCCATCCCTGCCCTCAAGGGAATCCGCTGCCAGAAGAGTGAAATCTCTACATCCCTGAGAAGGGCACAGAAGGGGACTGAAAAGGGAGAAGAATCAAGACAGTCAAACTTGGTGCACTGATCTGTCTATAGGACTAGCATCAACTCCTTAGTGCCAGGCTAAGAATATTGTATGGCTCACTCAGTTTCTCTCTTTGCTTTGACTACCAACTCAATGTGCAGTTCAACCCTCAGTAGCAGCAATCTTCCTTGAATTTCCTCTCCCCTTTCCTGTAGCTTCTTGTGTGTCACATCCTTGGTGTTTTCTTATATATGACAAAAACCCTTTTGACAATCTGCAGAGTTTAAGTAATAAAATGGTTTTCTTAATAAGGCCTGAGCTAGACTCCACCTGGAAAAAGCCAAGATGCTTAGTGCCCACTGGCATGTCAGCAAGATGACCCAATCAGGAACCAATTATTTTTTGCCACAAGCATCTAACAGGCTGTTGTTTACTGACTCTAAAAACTCAAATGAGCACATATCTTATTGATTATTCACAATGACTTTCCTGGGTAGAGAAATACTATCCCAAATTTGTCTCTATGCACCACCTACAAGGGCAACCACATCACCAAGACCCAAACCGGACAGTTATTAATCATGATGATAATGATACACAGTTGCTTCTCTGGGCCCCTGCTGGGATCTCCAGCCTCCTGTCCATTGCCACATGCCTCACTCATCCACACTCTGGATCCTTCTCATCATGCAGTCAAGAGCCCCTTTCTCCATCCATGCTAAAGTGGCCTATCTCCAGCCCCTTTCTGTCATCTTACCTTTATTTCCATAGATTTCCTGTCTAAAATTAACTTATTTAAAGCAGTGACCTTAATCTGTCTTGTTCACCCAGGTGCCAAAAACAACACCTGGCGCATAGTCAGTGCTCACAGTTACTTGTAGAAAGAAGGAAGGGCAAGGGGAGTGCCTGCTGCATGTCCAGCACCGTGCTGTGCACTCAGACTTCTAGGTGGCAGCAGTGCCTCTGGTGGACCTGTGGTCGGGCACCCTGACCTGGGAAACATCTGCACAGCCTCTGACAGCCAGGATACCTTCATAGGCCTCCTCAGTGTACTCGGCGTTGATGAACCTGTCCAGGATGTCGTTCTCCTCGGCAAAGGCCAGCAGGATCCGCACGATCTCCTTGGTGTTGGGGTTGATGTTTAACAAGGCCTTCATCAGGCAGGTCTTCCCTGTGTCTGAGGCCGTCAGCTTGTGCATGAGGAAGTCTACAGGCAGGGTCACAGATGGAGGCATGGGCAGGAGGGACCGGTGGCCCTTGACCCTCACAACTCAGAAGGGGGTGTGGGAGCTGCAGCCTCTCGCCTCAAGATCCTGCTCTCCACCCTCTCCCCTGCCTGGCCTCCCTGACCCTGAACTTCCTAGCACTCTTCCTTCTTTACTAGCTTTTCCTTCTCCAGCTCTGGGCTCCTCCTCCCTTCTCCTGCCAAAGAAAGCCCTTTGCTCTTTGACCTCTGCACCTTGTCCCTGGCGAGGGGCAGTCTCACCCACTGCCTGGCTTCCTCTGTCCGGCTTCCCTCTGTCCACCTCTGTGCTGACACCTTGAAATCTTTATCTCCATCTTCTCCCTCCCCGGAGCCTACAAATAGATCTTATCACCTCCTCTTCCACTTGCTTTTCTCTGGGTCCCCAGACAGCAAGGACCCTACCATCCACCAAGCTACCCAAGTCCAAATGGTGCCACCCTGGACTCTTTTCTTTCCTCAATCCCTATGTCCCCAAGTTCTGACAATTCTCTCAGCCCTCCTTCAGGGTCCCAACACTGTTTGAACAGGAGCCAGGCCATGGCTCCCCAGACAGCAAGGACCCTACCATCCACCAAGCTACCCAAGTCCAAATGGTGCCACCCTGGACTCTTTTCTTTCCTCAATCCCTATGTCCCCAAGTTCTGACAATTCTCTCAGCCTTCCTTCAGGGTCCCAACACTGTTTGAACAGGAGCCAGGCCATGACGTCCACCTGCCTAAACCCTTCCATAGCTCCCCACTGCCCTCAGAGTTGAGTTAAAGGCTGCTATCCCAGTACGCAAGGCTCCTCAAAACCCAGCCCTACAGGAGATGGGGCAGGAATCAAGTGCCAAGTGGCATCCCTAGACCTGCAGCGTCTGCCAGGACCAGGTACTGACCAGGCACATCCATGCCACCGCGACGCCTCTTGCAAAGCTCCTGCAGCTCCGCCAGCAGCTCCACCAGTTCCTCCACACAGCCCTCAGACACTGCTGCAAAGATGCGCTTCTTCAGCCGCTTCTTCTTCCGCCTCTGCTCTTCCTTAGCCAGGTTTGCACTGAGGCCAGAAAATGTTTTCATTTCACCATGCACACCCCCTCCCCCACCCTGCAATTATCACCCCTTCCCCAACAGAGTTGCTGGACCTTCAAGGACACCTCACAGGCCTGTCACAACACCTGCAAATCCTGTGTTTGTGCTTTGGGGCTCCATGTTGCCCCATGAAGCTCCCCTTCCTATCCATATGTGATCGCATTTATCGAAATATGTATCTGGATATATTTAGGAATAATCAGGAAGAATATGTGCCTAACTATTCACAGCAAATTGCCCTGAAATATGCAAGGGGAAGGAAAATTTCACTTTCATATTTTGCATGGTTTGAACTTTTCCAATCCATCCTTGTCCCCGTACTCCAAATGGACAGTCCTGGTTATGCACTGATGTCTCTTCTTGTTTGCATGTGTTTTTGCAAAATGCATATTGCTGTTTTCAATGCGTGTATTTTAAATTTACATAAGTGGTCTTGTGCTAAAGTTATTGATCCTCTGTATATTATTTTATAATGATCGGGTATTATTTTACAATTTATAAAATTTGATATTCCACTCCCCCCACTAAATGTCCTCCATGCCACAACCATGGCCCATGTCTCCAGACTTATATCCCACCCCTCTTCCCTTGGTAGGTACAGCAGGAGATAGGCAAGGGCCAGACTCACCTTGGACTGTTGGGATTGGATGGAGTCTCTGTCACATCATCCTGTGGAGACTGGGGAGAGTCCATGTCATCACAGTTGCCAGAGATGCTGGAAGTATGGCAGGAGGGATGAGAGAAGGACACTTCTCTCTGTAGCACCCCACAGCCAGGCCAGGCTACATGGCCCAGGGCATGTTGCTGGCCACCCACGGGAGCTGAGGACGAGGCAAGGGGCTGATACTCACCACTGCCGGATGTTGGAGTCCATGGGCTTGGAGAAGATGGGGGGAGAGGTCTTGGCAACAGTGGGGTTGGGCTCAAACCCTTCTATTTCCAGGAAGAAGTGTGCACTGAGGGGACACCCAAGCAAGGTCGTTAGAGATGGGGCATCACCTGTCCATCTGTGCATCCTGCACCCCTGCCATGGAGGGTCCCCCACATTTTAGCCAACTCTGCATGGCCTGACCTCATCCAGCCCTCACAGCAGCCCTTAGGGCCAGGCACTATCACAGTTCACAGATGAGCCCCTGGGAGGCTCTGGGGTGACCCAACTCAACATGGTCACATGCAGCACTGTGGCAGAGCCTGGATTTGAGACTGAGTCTGGGTGACTCCTATTGCTAGAAATGCTGGGTGGGTAAACCACAAAGTCTCTACTGGGGTGGCCCAATACCTGGGGATCTGCAGCTGCCTTCAGGTTTAGAGGATTTTTCAATGATGAGAACAGGGCACCCAGAGAGCTAGCTTCCCCATGGCCACTCCGCTGCCCTCAGAACTCAGGTCTGAAGTGAGAGCCCTGCAAGAGGAGGCCTCTGGACTCCAAGATCCATGCAGGCCTTATGGGCTCTTGAGGGAGGGAGAAAAGGCCAGAGTCACACCRCTGTGCCTCACTACCCCCATCCCAGGTCTCTTTGTTCAGCAAAGGGTAGTTTTTGTTTTGTTTTGTTTTGTTGTCATGACAGAACACAAGTTGAAAAGGCTGATCTAGAGTAGGGGGGACTTTAGGGCTCAGGGGACAGGGCTGAGACACCTTTTGACTTTTTGATGAGTCAAAAAGGAAAGCCCAGGCAGTGAGGGGAGAGGCAGGGCCTGGGACAGCCTTCTCCTACACTGGCAGAAGAGGCCCTGTGGCTTGGCTGACCCCAAAAAGGACAGATACTGCCACAAGAGAGTCAAGACAGACCCAGTATGTGGCTCCGGGCCTGCCAGAGCCCACTGGGCCCCATATCCCAACAGGGCCCCATCTTCAGACACACACACACAAATACAGATGTGTGTGAGCATAGAGACCCTAATCCCACACTCAGAGGTGGTAACAACTAGGATGGTGAGGATCAGGCTGAGGGTGACTTCAGTTGCAGCAACACCCCACCTTGCAGCTGCTGCAGCACATCTGCTAACTGTGTCCAGGTCGGTGGCCTCCCACTGCCAGGCCTCTCTCCAGGCATACAAGGCTCCCAAGAACCTTTGCTTCCTGATGCCTTCCAGCAGGTTCCCTCCCATCCTCACAAGATCCCAGAAAAGTTCCCAAAGTACAGTCCCACTTAGCTGCACTTAGTCAAGTTCAGAAGGAAGGGCAGAAGGGAAGGGATCGTGGCCCCACTCCACAGATGAGATAACTGAGACTCAGTACAGAGAAGCAGCTCATTAGGGTCACCCCTCCCCCCCAGAATAGAAACCAAGTTGGCCTGAGAACCTGCTTGCTGGTGTCCGGGCTCTCAGTTCACACCATAGTCCACACTGTTCCACTCTCAGTTCAGCCCTCTGGGCCTGCTTTCAACCCAACCAGCTGCAGAGGTTGGCCACAGAGGGAGACTGCCCCATATAGCTACTGCCCAGGGTGGGGCAGGCAGGAGGGGCCCAGAACTGGCCTCTAGATAAGCCTAGAAGACTCAGAACTAATCCAGAGATGGAGCATAAGGGGGGCAGTGGACAGTGTTGGCTGAGACATTGGCCCTCACCTTCTTGGCTCCTGCACATCAGAAGGAATTTTATGACCTGATCAAAAAGCAAAGACTTCTTCCAAACAAAGAAGAAAAAGAAAGGAGTAAACCTTTGGCTGGAAACCCAAAGCCTGAGTTCTAGAGGCTCTCTGCCTCTGCCTCCTGTGTGGCCCAGGTGGTCACTTTTCATCACCGAACCAGGTGTCCTCACGTGAATGGATAGTGGTGAGGTCAGATGATTCCTAAGGCCTGTACTCTGGAGCCAGGTCAGCTCTGGGACATGAAAGGCCAACCAGCTTGATTGCCATACCTACGGATCCCTGCAGTGCCCCAGAAGTGCCACCCCAAAATGGGTGCCATTCCATTATGGCTCCCTAACCCAAGGGCTACAAACCCATTTACTGGAGACTCAGCCTCAAATTATCATGGTTGAGATCTGCCAAATATTCTCCACGTGGAGCTCCAACCCCTACACCCACAAGTTTTCCTCTAAGACAGTTGATCCAGTCTCTCCTGATTCCCACTCCACCCCACCTGAGCTACTCAGTGGTGCATTTACTTAACAAATATTTATTGACCTACAATATGCTGGGTACTGTTTCCAAAGCTGAGGGTACAGTGGTAAGTGGGCAAACTCCCTGCCCTCCCGGGTCTGCTGTTCCAGTCCTCCAGGGAGAGAGCAGGGCACCGTGCTTGAGGCCACGGCTTTGCACTCTGGACCATCCATCATCCTTCAGCTATAAGTTCCTCAGTAGCAGGGACCACAATTGCACCATCCTGATTCCCCAAAATCGTCCTGCATTCTCCAACAGGGGTTCTGTCACTCAGAAGACCCTCGCTGAATGGGTGAGTGGGAGAATAGGTATGAGAGAAAGATAAATGAGTGGAAGGCTGGGATTATGGCTCAGTGGTAGAGCACTCGCCTAGCATGTGTGAGGCACTGGGTTCAATTCTCAGCACTGTGTATAAATAAATAAAATAAAGGTCCATTGACAACTAAAAAAAAATATTTTAAAAATAAATAAATGAGTGGAAGGAAGAATGGCTGGTTAGAGAGAGGGACAGATGAGTGAATGGATGAGTAATGGCTAGATGATAGAAGAATGGATGGATGGATGGATGGATGGACAGATGGATGGATGGATGGATAATGTAGTCAGGTATGTAGATGGGGTAAATACAATAAATTCAGATCTGTGGTCAGAATCAAAAATCAGACAGACCAACACAACCATAAACCATAAATATTAGGAAGTGGAATCCTTCACGTGACTCCTACTTTGCTCTCATTGCCTCTTCTAAGCCTCAGCCCCTTTCCGGGCTTGGACAAGTGACAAGGGGTCCTTTGCCTCTCCTCACCTGCCCTCTCTTCAAGACCTTCTCCCAGAGGAGCAGCTGAGGGTATGTTTTTGTGGCAATGAGTGTTTGTCCTTCTCTGGGGCTCAGCCAGGCCACAGAACCTCCTCTCCCAGCCCGATGAGAAAGCTGATCCTGTCTCCAGCCTCACCCCTCCTTCCCCAGTGTGGTTTCCTGGCTGTCTCTCTTGAGGGATTCTTAGCCCTGTCCCTTGAGCCCTCAAGTCCAGCCAGCCACAGCTCAACCCTATCTTCAGACTCACCCACGTGAGCAGACACGCGTGAGCATGAGAACCACAATTCCACAAGGACAGTCCAGGAAGCCAGATGGTGAGAGCATCTGTCCACCCCAGGCTGAGGGCCCACGGAAGAGGTCAAAGCATCAGCTCACCCTGCAGTGTCCTTGTCGGTGCTAAGTGGCCGTGCTGAGTGGCCATGCTGGGCTCCTCATCTCACCCCTCTCCTTTCCTTTCCGGCTCCTTCATGGTCTCATCCACTTACGCAAAAACTACTCACATGCTCACAGATCCCAACCAGGGCTAACATATCATCCCAATGACAGCTTCGGCCTCTGAGGAGGGTAGGGCTGTGGGAGCTCAAGGGAAGCAAAGTTCCTTGCAGCTAAAGACAGGGATGGGATGCTCTACTGGCTCAGGAAAAAGCCCTGGAGGCAGAGAGGGCAGCATGAGAAAAATGTCCTGGGGAGGAAGGGTAGGGCTGAGTCTTGGGAAGGACATCCCCAGTGGCTGGAGTGCAAGATGTGAGGAAGAGAGTGACAAGAACCCTGCTAGGGAGGACCCAATTGTTGGGCAAGGACCTAACTCCTGGGATGGACAGCTGCTAGGCGTGAGGGCCTGCCTACTTGCTTCCGCACCCCACATCCCTCCCACCTTCGTAGGCACATGGCCAGGTCTTGGCCCAGGACATCCTGACTCCTGCCCTCTGCCAATGATCCTTGTTTACTCCTACCTTTGGTTCAGGCCAAAGGTCTTCACCTGGGTATTGTTAATTCAGGTGCACAGACAACTCTAAACCATTTCTTCCTGCATTTCTGTTCCTCCCAAGGAATAACTCCAGGACTGCGAGCAAGTCCGGGGCTGGAAAGGAGCTTGTCTGGCCACCTGCATTGTCCCAAGAAATGCCCAGCTTTCCCACAGCCCCCTATGGCCTGCATCTCTGATCCTGGGCACCACCTTGCTCACAGGGAACAGCATGAAGCTCGGGCAAAGCCCCCAGATCCAAAAAATCTCTCCATGCTGTAGACTTCCTGGTTCCTTCAATTCTGTCATTAGTACACGGTTCTCTCCTGTTCAGGGTCGCCCTCTTTCTTTGCATATATTTTTTTCTTTTCCTGTCTACAACCCTAAGTCTTATACTCAGTTCTGCAGGAGATGTCCAGACCTTCACACAAGAGCCCTTGGAGCATCTCTGGGCCACCAGTTCAGGAGACAAAGATCATACCTCATACCCTCTACTGGGCCAAGCAGTCAACCAGTAGAGCCACACCTAGAGCAGTCCATGCATGGTGAGGGGCTCAGAAAAGGCAGACTGACTGATCCTGTGGCAGAGACCCTGGGATTTTTCCAAATTCCTGTCCTCTATCCTTCCTCAAGATTTGAACCTCCCCTGGGAAAATGAGAGGGGAAGGTGGTCCTTGCCAACGTAGCTCACAGATCTTTCTGCTCTTTCCTGGACAGGCACATCCAGACCCAGGCTGCCCCTCTTGCTCCTGAGATACTTGTCTCATCTCCATCTCCACCCGGTCTCCTCTGCTGAGCTCCAGGATGAAGTCGCCATCTCGATATCCCTCAGACGCCTCTCACCCAGAATTCCACACCTGAACTTGGACCATTCCTTGTGACCTTGAATAATGTGTTACACCTTTGGTAGCTGGTATAACACATTATTCAAGTCAGGGATGGCCTCACCATCTCTCCAAGTCAACCCACCAGAAAGAGGTGACTCCTGTTCTTTCTCCCTTCCCTCCCCTAGCAGATCCCATGACACTAATACCTCTCTGATCTGTCCTTTCCTCTCCATCCCTGACAACCCAGGCTCAGACCTCACCTGGCCTTCCAGACAGCCTCCTTGTGACCTCCCTGGCCCTGCCCCCCTCCAATCCATCATCGACGTGGGTCACCCAAAGTAATCTTTCCAAAATACAAATCTTACCACACTGTCCCATGGGAAGTCCCTCACTTCTGAACCCTCCTGAGGGTTCCCCACTCCCCTCAGGATTGTCCAAGTTTCTTAACTGACACCCCAAGACCAGCCCCAGTGAGATTCACTGCCTCCAAAATTCCTCTCCCCACTCAGCATTTCAGCTGCACCAAACTTCTCATTGGTCCTCACCCCAGTGTCCCTGTCTCCCTGTCCAGGGTCTAACCTTGGGCCTGATACACAGGACACCTCAATAATTATGTCTTTAAAAAAAAAACAGAAGGAAAACACCAAGCTTGCCTTAGGCCCAAGAGGAGACCTGGGAAGAGAACAGAGGAGGCAAGGCAAATGGCCATCCTAGGTCTAAGGGAGGCATAGCTGAGGTGGTCTTCTGCTCTAGACTGGCCCATCCCAGAAGCACCAATCTGCTGAGGGATGGAGAGCCTGCCTTGGAGGCAGCTCAGGGGCAGGAAGGTGTGAGCCTAGAGAAGCCCCTGCCCTCTTCAGTCTCCCCAGCTGGGAAGTGGAATGAACCATCCCAGCTCCCTGGAGCCTCACAGAGTAACAATCACAGTGACGACGATGAGGGTAGCAAGTTGTTGACTRTGGATACATGCTGAGCACTGGCCTCACACCAGGCACTGTGCTGAGCACTTGGTTGCCATAATACCAATTAACCATCATCCTCTGAGTTGGCGCCATTGCCAGGGTCCCCATGCAGGGCTCCAGCCTGACTATAGCCATCTTGGTCACAATCTCCGTTTTGCCTGCTACGTGACCCTGGCATGTATCACAAACTTTATGGGACAAATAAATTCCTTAAGGTAGAGAATCCAGAGTGTTGTGCTACCCATTAACACCAGGACTRGCACCGAACTGTCATGGGACATGTTAATAATTGAGAAATCCAGGTACATTCATGGCCACCTTTGTCCAGAACAGCTTTAACCCTTTCCTCCAGCCTTGGAGTGCCAGGATCCTCCTGTCTTATGCCTCCCAAGACACACCTCTGTCTGCAAGTCCCCAGTAAATTATACTTGCTATCCAGAATCTGTTTATGGTCTCATAGTACCTTCCACCTTTGGTAGCTAGTTCTCATACATGAAACTGGGTTTTGTTTTTTTCTTTGTTTACAAAACTTCATTTACACAGATGTGGTTAGAGAGCTTGATTAACCTGGTCAGGCATACACAAAATGAAAGTTATTGGTGTATGTGAAAAATGGATCTAGTTGAGGGTCCAAACCACCTGGAATTCCCACCCACCTTTTCCATCCTTGTCTCAAAGATGGCTCCAACAGTCCCTCTCCTCCTCCAGGAGCCTTCCTTAGTGTCCCCTGACTCCTCCAGGAGTCATACAGTCACACAGATATCTCCAGCAAAGTATGCAGTGCTGTTCCCCTCAGTTATACCTATTCAAACACCAGACCACCCCATATGACACTGATGCTCTTAGGTCACAGGAAGCAAAGGTTCCTTGGGGTAGAGCTTTCTGTGCCCCACTTGCACAAAAGCCAGGTCCAAGTCTGCCAGCCCTACCTCTTCTTGGTGGGGGTGACTTCTGCCGGTCTCTTCTCTGTCAGGACAACAGGGTTTCCACTGGGGCCAGTGGTCCTCCTGCCCACTAGGGGCACCATCTCCTTGGGGTGGGCATGCATGGCTGGAATGCAATCACAAGGCAGATGCTCAGGTTGAGGGGGCATGGAGGAGTTTCGGGGGGCTTCACACCACCTTATGGCACCATCCAGCTCCGGTTCACACTCCCTGTCCCCCTAGGACAGAGAGTTCACTCCCCATTTTCCCAGGCTGCCAGTCCTTCTTAGGAGCAGGGAGACTGTCTCTGCAGTTTCTCCTGTTCCCTGCTTAGGTGGCCTTAAGAGAGCCCAGCAAGGCATCCAGGTAGAGACCACCATGGCCTATAGCCTCTCCTCTAACCACCRTATCTAGCCCCTCCAGACTCCAAATAGAATTATGCTTCCCTTAGGATTTGTGTTCAGATCTACGCTTAAGACATTTGACCTTGACAGAGCCAGATTGTCACCTCCGCTTCTCTAGACCCTATGTTCCTAGTAACACAGCCTTGGATTCCTCTGATATTTTAGATTTCTCATCACCCAGCTGGTCTCTGTAGCTGATACACTGATCATCTCTGTTACCCGGCCATGACAGCTGTCTGTCTGCTGGACCCCCCACAGACACTCTTGCTTGGAGGGAGGAATTGAATCCTTTCCCCTGAGGCTGACCCCTCCTCAGTCCAGACCTACTTTACCAATGCTCAGGATTGGCCGGGCACTTTGGTGAGCTCCAAGGGGTGTGGAGATGCTGGGAGGAGGGACTGAGACATATTCCAAAGAGACAGGGAAGGTGTCTTGAAGGGAACCCTAAAGGCTGCTGGAAGCAGGGCGATCCCAGCAGCCAGCACAGCCTGGGCAAAGACTAGGGATCAGGACAGTCCAGAGAGTGACAAGGAGCTGGTGGGGCTGGAGAACCTGGGGAGTCTGTGGAGAATCCCATCAGGCAGGGGCTCGGGAGCAGTGGGACCCAATTGTGAGGACCTCTAGCACCACTTGGGCACCGTGGCTGATCCCAGGGCAGCAGGGAGTAATGGAGGGCTCTGGGGCTACAGGGGCATGGAGATGGTAGAGATCAGTAACCTGGGGGCCAGGAGGAGGCTGCTGGGGTAGGCGGGGATGAGGATGAAGAAGGGGCATCTGCCCACATAGGGTAAGATGGATGGGGAGAGGACGGTGTGGACAGGAGGCAGGTCTGCAGTTAAGAGGCCAATCTTGGCTTAAGTCACCTCGTGGGACCTACTGGGATACAGAGAAGAGAAGGGAGGGGTGGATTTCTGTAAGATGAAGCCAGCTGGTGGGATAGAGCCAGAACCACCGGGGTCCTGCCCCGGGTAGGAAAGCTTCCTAGAGGGAGTGTCCAGAGCAGGTTGTCATCAGGCTGGAGGGGCTTTGAAAATGGGATAGTCCCGCTGCCCTCACTAATAGTAAGCAGGTTCAGGGTAGGGGAAGTCATCCTGGGAGGGCTTTGGCCCTGGAATGCAGGAACTTTGAAGCAGGGAGGTTTCAGGAGGGGCCTTAAGGCCAGCCAGGTGGGCAGCCCATGGAGAGAGCCTCAAAAACACCCAAGTCCCTCCTCTATCCAATCACAGCCTGATAAAGACAGGTGGCCTGATTGCCTGTCCCAGCCCCCAAAGACCCATGGACAGATGGGACTAAAAGGCTGGACTGGGCCATGAGGGAAGAAGGATAGAGCATATCTCTTACCCCTTCCGGGGGCCTCTGGCTTCCCTCCTGAGAAATGGGCTGAATGATCCCCAAGGATCCTTTAACCCTAACCCATGGCACGGATTGCTCCATCCTCTCTCCCCATGAGTGTGGGCAGCCAGGACAGGACAGGGCCAGGACAATCTGAACTGGGCTACAGCAGCTATAATTAGCTCGCTGAGTCACCCCATAAACACTGTAAGCTCACCTGCTGGCCTCTCTTGCTGCCCTGGCTATCCCTCTGTCTGGGATTCAGCTTCATCACCTAAGAAATGGAATATCACACCCCCAAAGCCCTGACAGTGATTGAAATGACCTGGCCTGGCAACCAGAGGGAGACCCCTGGACCCTGTCCCTCTTCAGCACTGAGCCACTTCATCCCATCCTCAACTCCTGTCACACTTCTGCCCCCGAGAACTGCAATCCCAGAGCCCACCAAGGGAAACAGGAGCTTCGCCTCTAGCCTTGGACAGCTGTGAAATCATCTCCCTCCTCAGGGTTCCCAAATTCTGGGTTCCTGGGTCCTTTGGAACCTACCTTCTCACATGGCACAACAGCTAAGAGCTCACTTCTGGGTTTCCCCTCCTGGAGCCCAGGCTCCTTCCTGACTTCCCCCAAGGTGTTGAAAATGAGCAGACAAGGCTCAGGCAACCCCTAGGCCCACACCCTAGGCCCCCCATGTGCCTTGGAGGATACCAGCTGCCCTGGATGGTGAGGACTCACCTGGCAAGGTCCTGGGTGGTGGTGGCAGCTCTTGCCCTGAGATCACCGCATGTCGGGGGCCCAAGGCCCCCCTTTGGGATTGTGGCCAAGGCAGCGAGAGGCTTTCATGGCAGGCACAGGGACTGCTGATGGCTGGAATGAGGCGTCAGAAGCAGAACTGGCTGGGTTACCTGCCCTTGGCGCCAGGCAGGCCACGCCCACCACCCACGTGCTCCACGTGAATCACCCCACGCCCACACAGCAGCCTCACCCACAGGGGAAAATGCAGGGGAGGCCACCTTCTTTGGCACAAGACTGATGTTCTGGTCCCAACCTTCCTGCCTTGTATCTGATGCTTCGCAGGTAGGTCCCATCAAAATTGAGTGGGAATCTATTATAATAGAGAACTTTCTTCCCAAGGATGAGGATGTGGAGTCAAAGAGATCACCGAGGTGGCGGGGCATAATAACCTTCAAGTGTTCTGCCCTGACCCCTGCAGGGGAGGCTCAGGACTGATGTGGTTGACCCCAGGGTGCCCAGCCCCAAGACTCGCATCTGTCCTTCAAAGTCAGTCCCCGCGGATCAGGTTCCTCAGAGACAGAGGAAGTCCTCATTCAATCATTTCCATTCATTCATCATGAATCTTCAGTCAGACAGCCTCACCCCTTCCTGGCCATATGATCTTGGGAAAGTCATTTCTCCCAAGCTTCAATTTTTTTCATCTGGGAAATGTACCTAACCTACCTTGCAAGGTTACTGTGGGGCTTAAATGAGAGAGCAAATAGAAAGGAGTAGAACAAGGCCCAGAGTACAGAAAGAGCAAACTGTGACAGCTACTGTCAAGACAGTTTATTCTCCCAGCAACTATTTGGGCCACCTTTCTCTGAGGCCTGAACGTGACAGGAAGATTCTGTGCCCTCCCTCCTGGCCCAGGCCTCTGCTGAGAAGGGGGTGGAGAACAGCTTGAGTCAGGGCTTACACAGCTGCTCCTGCAGGCAAGACGTGGGCAAGACGTGACAGGGACAGAGTGACAGAATCTGCTGATGGTGATGGTGCGGGGACTTTCCCAACTGCTCTCAGGAGTCAAACCCCTTAATCCCTCATCACCACAACCTGCCAGGCCTGGGGAGGTGGCTGGAGGCAGGGTCATGCTTTCAGGCCATGAGAGCAGGACCTGCGGCCACTACAGGGCAGAGCGGGCTTGCCACTTTGGGTGATGAGGGACTGCTTTTGCAGTTTAAGACAAGGGGATCCTGAAGTTCCTGCTTGTGATTTGAAATCTCTTAACTATGCTGAAACTCCACCATCACAGCCCAACCTTGTGTGAAGCATAGTCTCCGCCACCCCATTCGTTACCCATGGACCCTCTGCTGACTCAGCCCCTCACCCCTCCTAGCTTGCTTCTGTCTCAGGATCCTGCAGATTAGGCTTTTGCCAAACCTCAGTGTTGACATTTTCCTTGTGTTACTGCTTATTCTCAGGGACCAGGAGGGAGCTGGTTTAAAAAAGGTCCCCACCCAAAGGCATGCACTGTGCCCAGCAAGGAATAAGGCAAGCCCCCTCTGCAGGATCCAGGCCAGCTAACAGAGAAAGAGGCACTGGTCCATGAAAAATCCAGTCGCGCCCCAAATATGTAGTCCACACTTAGTCCCAGTTAATCCCAGGTCATGAGAGTCCATGTGGGAGACCCTGGCAGGGAATCCGGGAGCCAGGAGGGATTCAGAATGGGAGGAGGCAGTCTCCATCCTCAAGGAACTTGTGGGCCATGGGAGACTGGCTGGGGCAGGAACCATAATGTGCCAGACAAGGACCAACCAAGGGGGAGGAAGTCTTCTAATGGGGAGGTGAGGCATAGGTTCCAGGCAGAGAGAGCACTGGGGCTGGGCTTGGAAAGAGGGAGGCATCTACAAGTCAAAAGCTGCATCAGCAGAGGCTCAGAGGCCAGAGGCCCTGGCATGTTCCAGGAACAGCGACAAGCCTGGGGCAACATGTGTTCTCAGTAGGTGACAGACACGGGGCTACAGAGTGAGGTGCAGCCTACCAAGTGGCCCCAGGCCACGGGGTCAGCCCTGACTCCTTAGTCACACGGGGCTACGCTGGCATAGATTCACAGGGCACATGGCCAATGGCCTGGTATAGATGCTGTTTGTCACCTCTGTTGCCAGGCAGGTAGCTGATCTAGCACCTTAAACAAAATGCAGTGCCTCTGCCTGTCAATCTAACTGATGCTTGCCCCACTACTACTTCTGTCCTGTGTTTGGGGTCTGTCTACACAGCACAGTCACAGGAGTGTAGAGCCTGAAGTTCCAGCTCTATATACCATGCCTGCAGCTCCCATAGAACATTGGGAGCATTGCCTGCCTACCCTTGACAGCCACATGCCTGACCACTGGGCTCATTCCCAGGGGCCCCAATGCCTAGGAGCCCTCCACTACCCAGATCCTGGTCCCTTGTAATTGCCAAGAGTGATGTTGTGCTCACCTTTCCTCAGCGACCCAGAATCTCCTCTTATAGTGGGTAGAACATCCAGAGCCCAGAGAGGCCACAGATCCAGGAAGGGGTCTTTCAGATTGGCCATATGTATGAAGGAGAACATCAGGGGAGATGGGGCCCAGCCTGGGGTGGGTTGCTGGCAGGGAGAGCAGAAGGGCAGCCTCTGAATATTCCTGCCCTGACCCACCCTCAGAGGTCTGAACAACAGGCAGCTCCTAGATTCTGCCAAGATACCCGCAAGTGAGTCCCCATCCTGCCAGACTGAGGGCAGAGTGGAAGCCCTAGTCAGCAGGGTCTATCTGTAGAAGCCATCCTCCTGCCTGCTAAAATGCCCAGGGAGGACAYACCAAAATCTGTTCCTCCCTACTCCCCACACCTCCCAAGGCCCCACATAAACCAGGCCCCAGTGACAAGTCCACAGGTTCCATCTCCCCAGGGATAGTGAGAGGGGGAGGTCCTCTGGGTTGGGTATAGGCAGGGAGGGGAAACATACTTATATATCTGCCAAAATACTTATATATTTGCCAAAACCCAGAGAATGTACACCACCAAGGAAAAGCCTAATGGGCTTTGGGTAATAATGATGTGTCAGGAAATGCCTCACTTGGTGCTGTGAGGAAGGAGGGGAAGCTAGGCAGAGTCCATTGCCCTTCCCGGGCCTGAACAGACTGATCCTGACCATGATCACAAGAGGATACTTCTACATCTGCATGATAGCCTGACATGGCTGTTCCTGGGCTAGGAGAGCTATGCCCCAGCCCTGTTCAGGATTCTGGGTGTGGCTCATCTGCTTCCAGGTGCTGGAGGGAGGGACTTGAAGGCAAAGATAGAGAGCAATAAACTTGAAAACTGCTGAGAGTAGATTTTAATGTTGGCACCACAAAAAATGGTAAGCACATGAGACAATACAACAAATAGTTTAATTTAGCCATTCTACCATGTAYAGATATATCAAAAGATCATATAGCAACATAAATATATACAATGTACACTTGCCAATTAAAAATAAATGAATCCGGGCTGGGGAGTGTAGCTCAGAGGTAAAACACATACTTAGCATGCCTGAAGCCCTGGGTTCAATCCCTAGCAAAAATGAATAAATAAATAAATAAAATATTTAAAGAATGCAGAATCATAAATCAATAATAACATCGTGTAAAACAAAGATTTTTTGTTTTATTTCATTCTTTTTGCCATTTTGCTGTATGGGAATATTAGCAAAGAAAAAGCCCAGAAATTTTTTAAAAAACATGACCTGAGCAAAAATATAATATACTAAAATGTAAGTACATACAACACATTGGCTACTCCTGTTAGATTAAAAGAAAACATTAAAGAGAGAGAGAAAAAAGAAAAAGACTGTTTATTTCACACTTATTAGAAAGGCCAAAATAAAAAATGATGACATTGAATGCTGGCGAGGATATGGAAAGAGAATTCCCATTTATTGCTGATGGGAATGCATAATGGTCAAGCCTCCTTGTAAGACAATTTGGTGGTTTCTTACAAAACTGAACATGCTCTTACCATATGACCCAGCAATGGTGCTTTTCCATATTTGCTCAAAGCAGCTGAAAATTTGTGTTCACACAAAAACCTGCATGTGAATGTTTATGCAGCTTTATTTGTAATTGCCAACCCTTGGAAATCGTCTTTTAGGAGATGAGTGGAAAAATACACTGTGATACATCCAGATAATGGAATAACATTCTGTGCCAAAAAGAAATGAGCTATTAAGATACAAAGGAAACCACAGTGCATAATACTAGTGAAAGATGACAATCCCAAAAGGCTATATAGTGTGTAATTCCAAGTACATGACATTCTGAGGAAGGTAAAACTATAGAGACAGTAAAAAGATCAGTGGTTTCCAGAGGCTAGGGGAAGGAAGGATGAATTAAAGGAGCACAGAGGATTTTTAGGGCAGTAAAACTATTCTGTGTGATGCTGTAATGGTGAATATTTATACTTATATATTTGCCAAAGCCCAGAGAATGTACACCACCAAGGAAAAGCCTAATGGGCTTTGGATAATAATGATGTGTCTGTGTAGGCTCATCAGTTCTAATGCAGGATGTCAATTATAGGGCAGGCTAGGGGGAGGGATGGGGGTACCTGGGAAGTCTGCTCTTCTGCTCAATTTTGCTATGAACCTAAAACTGCTATAAAGATGGTTGATTCATCTAAAAAGAATGGGCCAGATACAAGTACATATTTATTTAAATAACCCTAGATTTATATAAAACATTTTAATCATTCGTTTTGCAAAGGAATGCCTATAGGATTCCTTCCAGTGTGAGTAAGTCCAATTTGCAGCAATTTGTAGACATCTGACATCTACACATTTTTTGAGACAGGCCTACAGGTAAAGACATCCGGGGCCCTTGCTCTCCCTTCTGACCCGGGCATCAGTCAGCATGCCCCAGGGGGGGCTGACACAGCAGTTTAGACAGAGCTCTGAAGTCAGGTTGCCTGGGTTCAGACCCAGGCAATGCTGTTTATTGGCTGTGTAACCTTACTAATTGTTGGTGCCTTGATTTTCTTATCTATAAAATGGAGCTAATAATAGCTTCTTCGTGAGCTGTTATGAGGCTTAAAGGGTAACATACATCAAGCACTTTCCTCTGTGCTCCATACATGCCATCAGTCTCTATTCCTCCTCCACACACACCTCACTTCACCCACAGCRCCTCAGTGGGCAGCCCTCAGACTCCTCTGTGGGGCACCATGTGTGGAGCAGAGGTGACACTGGAGATCATGGAAGAAGAGCCTCAGCATTTCCTCCAGATTCATCTGTCATGGAGTGTCCAAACTCAGCCCTAGCTAAAGCCATACATCCTTTCCTGAACCAATCAATGTCCATCAATTTCATATCTAAGCAGCTCATTCCACAATCCACAGACATTCACACAACACACCCACATCTAGGACAGATCTCACTCCTGGATCATTTGTTTAAGTTCTATCCCATAAAGGAAGATAACAGGGGAACGCTTCCTGCTTCAAATATAAGCCTGTTGCTCTGCCTCTGCAACTTATTTTAAAACTGATTTTTTTCCCTTCCTCTCCTCCATCTYCTCCTCCTTAATCATGGAGGAAGAAAGATGAAGTTTCCTCCCCTCCTAGGCCAAGTTATCTGTCCTTCAGCTCATAACCCATGCACCACAGACGGCAAGAGTGAAGGAATGTGTATTTCAGCGCTGGCACCAGCAGGTCTGAAAAAAACAGACTAAATCAAGTCTACAAATGAATTATGATTCCCAACAGGGCACAGCTGGAATGTAGCCTTGTATCCCTTTAGTAAAATCCCCATGTCCCCTGACAGTTCGAATCACAGCCTCTGGGACAGGAGTGCCCTGTGTTTCTTCTTTGCCAGGAAAGCAATGAAACTTCTTTTTCCTTTTTATCAAACCCTCAACCTCATTATTAGATAGGCACTGGGGACAAGACCAAGCTTTCAGTATCAGGAAGAGTTAGCAAACTTCATTATAAAGGGCCATATAACAAACTCATAAAGGATTTATGAGTCTCTCAGTCTCTGGCAAATACTCAATTCTGCATTTTTTGACAAATGCAGTCATAGATAGTATATAAATGAATGGGTAAAGTGTTCTAGTGAAAACTTATTCATAAAACAGGTGCAGGCAATAGCTAAACTATGGAAGCAACTTAGGTGTCCTTCGATAGGTGAGTGAATAAAGAAAATGTGGTCTATATATTCAATGGAATAATATTTAGCTCTAAAGAAGAATAAAATATGGCATTTGCCAGTAAATGGATGGATTGGAGAATATCATGCTAAGCAAAATAATCCAATCCCAAAAACCAAAGGCCGAATGTTTTCTCTCATATGTAGATGCTAATTCACAACAAGGCAGGGGGCACTAGAGAAAAATAAAGTTACCTTAGATTAGGTAGAGGGAAATGAAGGGAGGGGAGGGAGGAGGTTTTGGGAATAGGAAAGATAATAGAATGAAACAGACTTATATATATATATATATATATATATATACAATATGATTCTACAACATGTACACTCAGAAAAATGAGAAATTATATCCCATCTATGTATGATATATCAAAATGCATAAATGCATTCTGCTGTCATGTATGACTAATGAAAACAAATTTAAAATTAAAAAAAAAAAAAACAGGTGCAGGGCAGATCTGGCCCATGGACCATAGTTTGCTGACTATAGTGTTTGTGAGGTAACATCCTTGCCCATGGGTAACAACTAAAGAAAGACAGAGACTCCTGCCGTATGGGGTAGTGTACACACACACACACACACACACACACGCACACACACATGCATATTACACAAACAGACTACACAGAGCCATGTACTGTGCCGGTCCGACACCTGGCACAAAGTTCACACTTGTTATAACACGTATGTGTGTATATATATGTATTTATTTATTTGATGGATGACAAAATGAATGGGGTGGAAGCATTTAGCATTGCAGGGGTGCAGGACTGTGATCATTGGAAACTTCCCTCCATGTGTCCCTTGGAACATGGTTCTGGGCTTTTATCTGAACAACAATAGAGCTAATATTTGGGGGACTTTGATATTTCACCCTAAAAAATAAAGACACTCTTGGGACAATCTCATTCTGCTGGAGTTAGGAATGGGAGAAGCATTCCCCACCTTCTCTGGGGATCAAACAATATCCCCTAATGAGACTGCTCTGGGCGGGTGAGATATTAACACAATACAGAGAGTAAGAGCTTCAGCTTTCAACATCGCAGGAAATGTTCTGTTCTCATCAAAGGTGTTTTTCTGGACTCCATTTACTCTCAGTAACATGAAGATCAAAGGCAGCAAGGGTCTAAGCTATGTCCAAGTACAGACTTACCCTTCACACTGTTTAATGAAGTCAGTGAGAAGTTGAAAGGCAGATGGCTTCCTGTTTGAAGATTCACCTGGGACAGCGGTAGGTGGATGCATGTCTCTCCCCACACACCCAACCACACTTCCCACAGCAGGTCCAGTGCAGTCCTAGGAATGTGCCTGAGCAGGCCCTGAGAGGGTCACACTGCTGACAGGGCACTGGTGTTCCCTGAACAGCCCCTCCGTGGCAGTGGGGCATCAAAAGGCCCAGCATGGAGAGCACCCCAGGTGGGGGTCCCTCACTTCTCCCCTGGAGCCATGGAATCCTTGAAGACCTCAGCATCCTCTGGCTTAAGGGATCCTGCAAAGTGCTTCAGATGAACTTCCTCGGGCTGTGCATGGTGCCTATCTCGAGTGCTTGCATCCCTTAAAAGGGGAACCAGGGCAAAGTTCCTCCAGTTTCTCCCTGAAACTAAAGAATAAAACATCATTGCTACCTTGCATGCAGCAAGACAAACACACATTCACTTTGTGGCCCTACTAATCTCCAAATAGAAGGAGGTCTGGGCATGCTGGTGCTTCCTGTGGTTCCTGGATCAGTACAGTTTTCTCTTCCCTCAGCTGCTCAAGGAGCCTCGTCCATTTGGACAAGTAAGGACCACATGAGAATCCACCCATGGAGACTCTGCCAGCTTCCATTTATTCCCTGCCACGGTGGGGGAGAGAGGAGGCACCCAAAGAGCAACACGGGGGCTGCCCCATGAGTGGCTCCATACCGGGTCAACTCTACAGTAACGAACACCAACCAAAGGATCGGGATTTAGGGTCCAGGACTCACCAGGGCTTAGAAGATTAGGAACCATGCTGAGGAAAACATGTAACACTGGGCCTCAAATGGGGACCTCAAATATGGTCTGAAATCCCAGGAAGCTCCTGAGGAAGACCCAATTGTAACCCAGATGGCCACGTCTAGCCTCTGATCACCTCAGAGGAATGACAGCCAAGAAGGTAAGTTGTGTGTTTTCTCCTTTCATTTGCTAGAGCCCTGATTAGCCAAGCCCTCTTATTGGCCACTTGGAGTCTCACCTCTCTGGAAAACCAGACTAAACTCACACATCTCAGCCTCAGGCCATGATGCGGGCCCCTGTGCTGGTATCCAACATGGACCACAGCTCAGAGGCATTAGCTGCCAGAGGCTAGTCCCACTGTGACTACTCCAACTGAAGTTTCCAGACCCTCAGGCTGACACTGGCCTGCCGCCCCAGTCTGATCCCAGCACCAACTGCTGATGAAGGATTCTTCAGGGAACCCAGGCATAGAAGCAGGAGGTACAYTGTGAGACAGGCCAGGTGCCATGGGGATACCATGGCTTGGTGGTGGGGACACCCAGCCTCAGCACTATCAGCCTAACCCCAGTTCCAGGTCCCTCAGAAGACGAATGGGCCTTCTAATGTTGCTTACCACATTTCTGATGCTAAGACCCTTCACATGTTTCCCTAACTTTTCTACTGGCCTTTCCCTCCTACATTCCCTCACCCCTTCCTATTGCACACACTGTTTGGTGGGGAAAGAATCCTATTATCTGAAATAGTTGGCTATTCTCCTGTTATAAAGTAGGAAGAAAAATCCTCAAGAAATATTCCCTAATTAATTTTAAGTGCAAAATTAAGGAAAATTAACCTCCCCCCATCTCTTCTCCAATTAATACATATGTGTACATCCCTGTCACAGGGTCAATGTCTTTATTAATATCACAGTGAATGTGCAATGTTGTAAACAGCCAACAATGTCATGCAAACACAATAAAAATCATCTGCAAGTTGAAATGCTGCATCTTCTAAAAGATGTGGATTTCATGAAATCAATGAGAGTGATATTAAAAACTGCTCAAATCACATGCAAAACCATCTTCAAATAGCTCCCCAGCAAAATTAGTTCAGCTAACAACTAAAGAAGAGATAATCGTCCTAAGTGTTAGGATGTGACACTGGAAGTCCTTCCAATTAGACTCATAGGAACCTCATAGGACTATAGGAGACCTGTGGGAAAACTGATGAAGCACTTGAGTAGTTTTCCAAAAACAAGCTTTTCTTGAAATAGTTCTCTACTTCCAACTATAATGCAGCATCTTGTACCAGATTAGCCATCCTGCTGTAAACAACTATAAAACTGGGCAAATACATGCTGCAAAGGTGTTTGAGTTCAGACAACAGACAGTGAAAACCTGTGAACCTCAAGAGAAGTGAAATTCACAGGCAAGCACTACCATCGCCGTGACTATCTGCTTAGAGACAATTTCCCCATTTACAGTGCAGTGAACGGCAATCCCAGCAGAACATGGAACTACCCCTGAGCTGAGGAGGAAGAAATAGGAGTTTGGGGCAACTGAATCAGGTAGACTCCAGGAGGCAGGCACAGGAGAAGAGGAAGAAGGAGTTATGGGGTGGAAGCTCAGAAGGCTTTCAGGGGGCTGGTTCCCCAAAAGTCCTTGGCTGAGATCTAGGCTGTGCTTGCTCATGAGCCTTACTAGAGAGTGGCAGCTTATGGGGTTGAAAGTGAAGCAGAAGTTGGGCACACACCTTAATCCCAATCATTTGGAAGGCTGAGGCAGGAGGATCATAAGTTTAAGGCCAACCTCAGCAACTTAGCAAGGCTCTGATTCAAAATACAAAATAAAAAGGACTGGAGGTATAGCTCACGGGTAAAGTGCCCTGACTTCAAGGAGGTGGGGGACAGAGAGATATTAAAGGTTGAGCAATCCTGGGGAGATATTGCCTAATACTAGGGGAGCCCAACCAGAGTGGAGAGGTCTCCTTACCTTCCTTTAAACTCTGAGTATCAAGTGAAGACACAAGACAGGTTCCATTTAAAAGTAATGGCCATGATCTAGACTGAGCCTACTCAAGATCCATACTAACAAGCTTTGACAAGATCCTCAGTGGAGACAAATTTCAGAGGTTGAGTCCTACGAGTTCAATGAGCTTAGAATATACTTTGGAATTTTCACAAGAATATACTTTGGGATTTCCACAGATCTGCCATACCAACAAATTAAGCCTATACAAATTCAAGGTGATTCCTTAGTAACTGAACCACTAACTGAATAAAATTCAATATTCTTTAAATGAAGGTAATAGAATCTGGAGTTTGCACAGTATATTATCTACAATGTCCAGTGTATAATTTTTAAATATAAGGTATAAAGAGATGGGGGAGATGAAGAGTGGAGGGGGTGGGGAAGGAAGAGGAAGAAAAAATGTAGCCAGCCCATAGTCAGGAAAAATAGCAGTTAAAAGAAACTTACCCCAAGATAACTCACATATTGGATTTTGCAGACAGAATTTTTAAAGAAGCTACTATAAATATGTTAAAAGAACTAAAGGGAAATATAGTTTTAATGAGGGAATAGCTAGGGAATCTCAGCAGAGAAATGAGAAATATTTTTTAAAAATAGAAATTCTAAAACCAAAAGCCCATTACTTGAAATACGGATGACATTAAATGCAATTTGGAGATGGCTATGGAAAGGGACATTAAATGTGAACATGGATCAAAATAAATTATTAAATATGAGAAACAAAGAGGAAAAAATGAGTAATAATAAACAAAGCCTCAGATCTATAGGACAATAGCACATGGTCTAATACACGTCATTGGAGTCCCAAAAAGAAAAGATAAGGAGAGTCAAGCAATGTGTATAGTTTCTCAGATTTAATTAAACATATTGATGTACAGATCAAATAATCTCAGTAAACCCTAATCAGGAAAAAAAGAAAAACAGAGAAAATCATACTTACGTATACCTTAGTAAAACTGCTGAAAACTAAAGATAAAGAAAATAATTTAAAAGCAGTGGGGGGTAGGGAGCGGGAGGGACATACTACATACCCGAGAACACAATCAAATAATGATGACTTCTCCCAGAAGGCAAGGCAAGTGAAGAAACAAAGTGTTGAGATAAAAAAATAAAAATAAAAACCTGTTAACCCAGACTTCCATATCCAGTGAAACAAACCTGAGGATGAAATAGACATTCTCAGGTAAACAAAAGCTGATAGAAAACAAATCTATACTGACAGAAATTAGACAGTTCCCTAGGTTGGGGAAGGTGAAATAGACTACCCAGAAGGTAGTCCTTGAATTTGAAATTGAAGGGACTTCAGGGTGCTTTCTGACATGATGGGAAGGCTCTATATCTGGAGTAGGGTGGTGGTCGACTAAGTGCGCATGTACGTTTGTCAAAACTTACAAAACTGTACATTTAAAATGTGCATATTTTAAGCTGGGTGCAGTGGCCCACCTGTATAACTATAACACAAACTTTGTTCTATATAAACTATGTCCACTTCATTTTTAAATAAATGTCCGCAGACCTGAATTTGGTGCTTATTGTGAAGTGCTTACCATCAAACTATTAGATGGCTTTGCTTTCCGGTCATAATTTTCCCCAGGGTTTTTGTTGGTTCGTTCTTTCTTTATTTTTTTTCTCCATGTGTACCATTTTCTTAACCCTGCCACCTGCCCCAGGCTTCTGTGTAAAGGAAGTGTTCCCATGCACCTGTTTGTGTCTTCTAGCCTCACAAAGCTGTGACAGCACACATGGGCTATGAAGAGGAGAGCCAGGAGGCAGGGCATCCCTGACCCACTGACCATTCCAGGGAGTGGAAAGTGACCTGAGCTGCTTCCTCTGGGCACTGGGGACAGTGCCTGGGCCAGGCTGGCACAACCAAATTGCTGGAACACCAAGTGCTCAGCTGCACAGGCATATGCCAGGGCATGTAGGAGCACCCACAGCTGAGTGTGTGTGGATGGCTGACATTTGGGACTGAGATAGGTGGGCTCTCAGGGAGACAGAAAAAGAGACCCTTAGTCGACATACATCCAGATTTAGTTAGAACAACAAAATCCCCCAGTGTATGCTTATGGCAGACCAACCAGAACAAAAAGTATAATGAATTTAAATGTCACCAGAGTCAAAGACCTACACAATATGTCCACAACTGATTTACGGCTAGACTTCTCAATCAATAAGAAACATTCTGAACCCCAATTAGCAAGTGATTCATATGGGATTTGATCTTCAAAGGAGCTTGCCTGAAAATCTGTACATTTTTTCCCAAAAGAATCATATATATCATCAAAGGACTCAACCCTGGACCCATCATCACTCTGCTCTTCTCTGAAAGGCATCTGCCCCTGCCTTTGGTGTGTGGATACATTTGCTGTCCTTAAATAAATCTTTGCTTGTGTCTTCTTCTAACATATTCTGTAATTATTCTCACAGCATAAATCAAGAACTCACCTGGGCTGAGTTCAGATCCTGCAGCCTCCTTGGAGGGACCTCCCTGGGCCTCTGCACAGTGACAGGGCTGTTACAGAGCCCAGGTCCTTTGAGGGGGTAAGAAAGGCCTACAAAGAGTAGGGGACCCACCTGCCCAACATCAGGCCACCAGCAAAGGGCCCCTCCACACACAGCATGGACCTGCATGCCTTACCTCTGCCTGACCTCAGGGAGAAGCTCAGGGTGCGCTTTACACCCTCACAGTTGCCAGGGTCTTCATTGATGATGCCCACATTGGTGTTCCAGGTGGTCCAGTTTACCTCGTCCACCCTGCAGGGGAGGAGAGAGGTCAGGGAGCTGGCTGCCTCAGGGCCATGTGCGGCTTCCGGATCCCAAAAACCCACAGATCTGAATGGAGACACAGCTGGTGGAGAGGGCCTACTTTTTGGATAGCACCCCCTCCCTAACCATACCATGAGGCCCAAGGACTTTAACTATTGGATTCCTGTTCCTGGCCTTCCTCACTAGGTGGTCCCTTCTGGACATTTCACATTTTCTAAGATTTAATGTCTGCATCCCTCTTTGCTAAGATCTGAGGTGGATCTCCTATGCCCACTGCTAAGCTCTGGGGTCACCCTCATACCTACAGCTGGCCTACAACAGGTCCCAAAAGATCCTGAGGCAGCCTCTGTACCCACAACTGGCTCTAGGAGGGCCCCTGGCACCCATGACTGGGTCCTGGAGCTCCACGGCTTTCACTTCTGCCTGGGCATTACCTGAAGCACCATCTGTAGTCATCCTTGCCGTCAGGTGTGTACCCCACCTGCAGCAGCTTGCCTGAGCGGAAGGCCTTCCTCATGCACTTTAGGAAGCTCTTCTCCGTGTCCAGGATGGTGATGGCTCTCTGCAGGAAGACACAAAGTGCAGAGAGGCAGAGGGCTCATCAGGGACCACTCTGACTGCCCATGCTGGATTCCAGGATTCAGCCCCTCCAGAGGCTCTCCCTGTCCCTGATGCCTCCAAGCTGGACCTCAGGGACCTTCTACACTAGGTTTGTCTCCATAGCATGGCAGGTGCACACTCCAGGAAGGGAGCTCAGCCTCCATATCAGGGAGCTGGGATATGGAGTGTCCCAGACCCTTCACTGAGGAGCTCATGAAAGGACAACCTAGGGTGATAGTTAAGAGCAGGACCTCAGAAGCAAGAGCACCTGGTCTGAATCCTTGTTCTGCTACTTACCAGCTGTGTGGCCTGGAACACAGGTGGCTGACATCTCTGTCCCTCAACACCTTCACCCAAAAATGGGATAGTAATAGAATCCACTCCATTGAATGGGAGGATTAAATGAGATCAGGTGAGCAAAACACTTAGAACAGGACCTATCTTTGGGTAAATTCCACTTAATAAGAGTGATCATTTTTTTTTTTTTTTTGCAGTAGTTGGGGAAGAAGGTGTGGACCACAGGGCTCAGACAGGAGCTCTTGGAGCTCTTCCCCATGTGAGCTGCACCCTGAGTCTGATCTCCAGTGTCTGCCCCAGATCAAGTTCCTCTGTGGTGGACACCCCACAGGTTTGAGCACTCCATCTCCTTCCCTCCAGGGCTGCCCCGTCCATGGCCAAACAACATCTATGAACACCCGCTAAGCTAACCCAATGCTGTGCAGCCCATGCTCAGCAGAGAACCCTGTGGGATGGGCATCAGCTAAAGGGTGCCGCTGCTCATCCCTGGCCTAGCTGGGCTTTCCACCCCCTCCCCAAATACCACAGGAGCTCATGTGTTCAACTATGTGACAGCCAGCAGACAGCCACAGACACCTCCTAGCAGCACACCCCACTGACACACCTGCAGTTTCCAGATGTTCTTGCTCTCCTGTGCAATCTTGTTCACGGTCTCCCCCATGAGGGCGATGAGCATGTTGAGTAGGAGGATGTAGGTGAGAATCACATAGGCCAACAGCAGGATGATGAAGACAGCCTTGAAGTCGTAGTTCTCCGTGAACTCCAGGTCACCCATGCCGATGGTGAACTTGAACAGCTCCAGGCACGTGGAGTATAGGCTGTTGTAGCTGTCGGGTGGCCTGCAGCCAGGAGCCCGCCACCTATGTGATGTGTACTCAACTGGCTCAGAGTAATTCTTCCCATCCTCGATCAGTGTTACTACCGCTGCAGGCCATGGAGAGAATGGGGAAAACTGGATGGAAGCCAAGTCCCCAGGTGCCCTGACATACAGCCCTTACCCCAGGATGGGTTTGCAGCAGGAATGCTGCTCAGCCATGAAAGACCTGTGTGTGTGGTTTTTTTAAAGTACTCCTTCTTCTAAACTATCAGAAAATTGTCTTAATATACTCCTTTGTTATAATAAGAACTTTATCATTATGTGCTAGAAAAAATGTTAAATGTACAAATCAATGTGTACTTGTGAAACTTATTCTCAGGTTTTGAAGCGTGAGGTAGGTGTGTGTGTATGTGTGTGTGTGTGGATGTGTGTAGGTAGATAGAGAGTGATTTTTAAATTTGGTAAAATTTGGGGGATCTGGGTGAGGAATACAGAGAAGTTATTGGTACTATTCTTAAAACTTGCCATTAAGTCTGAAATAATGATGAAATGAAAAGTTGGAAGAAATGTCACTATAGGCAAACAGCACTTCCTTCCTCAAAAACTACCAAAGCCATCTTATGAATCCCATTTCCAAGTTCTGGGGCTCATTGTGTGTTCTTTGTCCATCCACCCTATGACCCACAGGCACACATCTGTCCATCCCACCCAGCCCCTGGCAGAAGCCTCAGGAAATCAAGGTGAGCTGGAGCCCTCCACCATCCCCCACCAAGCCCATTACCTGTGGAAAACCCGAACAAGAAAACGAGGTAGACAAACATGAACCGACACAGGTCTCTGAGGATCATCTGTGGGAGAGAGCAGATTTATCAGAGGCAAGTCCAGGCCCTGGGAGGAGGCAAGGGAAGGGCCAGGCCCTGGGAGGAGGCCTGGAGCAGAACCAGGGAACATGCAGGAGGCTTAGGCCTCACAGCTCAGGTGTCATAAGAGACTCATCCGCCCTTCCCCCCATGGCTGTTGCTCCAGTCAGGAGAGAGGAGCCTAGGATGCAGAGGGGTCAAGTTTCGGAAGCCCGGCACCCAGGACAGTCCAAACTGCTTGATTCTTCAAGGATGAGCTGGGAGTGAAACTAGCAACGCCTCAGAAGATACCAGGAGGCTGGACAGAGTCTGTGGGACAGTATTTCACCCATATGGTAAATAGGTTCTGAGGAGAAACCACTTGGTTATGGGCACGCACCTTCTCGATCATGACAGCATAGATGCCCATCTGCTGGAAGCCACGGGTGTAGTAGAGCATGTTGGTCCAACCCATTGCCAGGGAGAACACCATGGAAGCCACGTACTCCTTGCGGTGGCTGAAGTACAGTACCACGGATCCCAGCATGAACAGGGACTGCACAAAGCTGAGGGTGGAAGAATAGGAAGCTCTGTCTACAAGTAACTGGGAGGCCTGGCACCCCAAGAACAGAAGTCCTCAGGCTCCCTGAAGACTGAGACCACAGGTCATGGTAGGAGCTAAGGCAGGCTGTCCTGCTTCCTTTAATCCATGTATTCTCAGGGGGAGCAATATCACCACCCCTAAGGGGCAAAATTGATTGGGAGTGGAGGGTCTTATCATGTATAAAGCACGGGTATAAAGTAGTACATATTTTCCTTGATTTGTGATGGGGTTGCACCCTGAAAAACTTGTCATAAATTGAAAATGCATCGAATATGTCTAACCTACTGAACATCATAGTTCAGCAACACAGCACACTGAAGAGTCATGGTGGTTTCCTTTTGTAATTATGGGTTTGACAGGAAGCTGAAGCTCCCTGTCACTGCCCAGCATCATGACAGAGTATCATATGGCATATGGATAGCACAGGAAAAGATTCAAATTAAAAATTTAAATCACAGCTGGATGAGGTGATGCACACCTAAAATCCCAGCTGTTCAGGAGGCTGAGACAGGAGGATCTCGAGTTCAAAGCCAGCCTCAGCAACTTAGCAAGGCCCTAAGCAACTCAGCAAGACCCTTCTCTAAATAAAAAGAACAACAAAAAAAAGGGCAGGGGATGTGGCTCAGTGGTTAAGCACCCCTGGGTCCAATCCCCCATACTAAAAAAAAATAACAATAATAAAAATAAAGCACAGTTTCTGCTCAATGCATATGATTTGCATACCATCATAATGTCAAAAAAATTTTAAGTTGAATCACTACAAGTTGTGGACCATACATACATAAACAGACACATAATTGTGGTGTTAAAATTTCATGTGGGGGGTGGGTACTTAGTTATGAAAAATGTCTTCAAAATATGTCTTCAATAATGGAAAAAAGCTGAGAAACACTGCTTTAGCACAACAACCTTCCTGCTTAGTCTCCAAGAACAAGAACCTCATGGGACAACTGATAACCTAAAAGCCTAAAGCCTATGAGGAGGGACAGGCCATGCTCTCCTGAAAACCCATAGCAGGATTTCTGGCCACACCCTCAGACTCAGCAACAGAGCCAGAGAAAATGTCCCTCAGGTCCTTAGTCCAGTGGACAAGGTGGAAGACATCAAGGTGATCCTGACATGTCTGTTCTGTGGTCCCTTCTTTCTTATTTATCCTGGGTCTCCTTGTTCCTCATGACCTCCTCCACGAAGTCCTCCTGATTGCACTTACACAAAAGACCACAAGGACAGCCTCACCTCCCATGTGTGTGAGAGAACCCAGCAAAAAGTCTCAACTGTGCTGAGGTGGGTCTGCTGAAAACTGACATCCACAAAGAGGTTCATTAAGTGGAATCTATCTTCTAGTTCAACTGCTAAGAAAAAACATTCCTCAGCATTTACAGAGCCCTGGGCCAAATGAGAACTGATGCCAGAGGAAATAGGTAAAGGATTGTCTCTGATGACAAATGGTTTTCCCACATATGGATATGAGGAGCTAGAGAATCGTGGACAAATGGAAAGTGACTTAGCAGACCCAAGAACCCAAATACAAAGCCAGACATGAGAAAATCTGAGGAACAACACTTTTAACCTTCAAAAGGAGTTTCAAAAGGCTTAGAAATCCCCAGAGGGGGTTAAAAGGGCCCAAAAATAAGACTGGAGGCCTAAGAAAATAAAACAAAGGGTCTTTGGACCCCAGTTCACCTAGCACCATTGAAAGCATTGATATGTTACCAAAACCAGGGATATTGTGAATTATACACAATATAGGTAACAGAAAGCCCTTTTTTCTCCACTCAGCTCTTGGGAAGCTGGCAGCCAGACTTCTTCCTTCCAGGTCAAAGATTGAAAAAAAAAAATGTCCTATGTGAAATTTGACAAAACCAAGAAGAAAAACCTAAATAGACTGACTTGTTATTCTCCAATAAATGGTTTGTCTGGATCAGCTGGCTGTGAAGCTCAGAACTGATACTCTCATCCAACATTAATAACTTTCAACCATGGAGGGGGTGGGGATCTCTTGAAAATCAAAAGATCAGTAGAGGTAAGAGACCAGGGGGTAAGAGGCAGTGAGAAAGGGGAGAAGTGCTGGAGAATGATATGGGCCAAATTATATTGTTACATTGTGTGCATGTACCAATATATAGTAACAAATCCCATCGTTCTGTACAACTACAATGCACCAATAAAAAATGTGGAAAGAGAAAAAATAGATTTAACTTTTTTGAAAAAGAGACTGCAACTACCTTTCAATTCTCCACTCTTAGTTATAAGCAGATGTCATGAATTTCCAGATGTTCTGAGGACAATCTCTAATATAAAGAGAGAAAAAAAAACCCAAGCAAACAAATGGAAAATAACTTTGAGTAAATAAAAACTATAAAAAAAGAAGAAAATTTTCTAAAACAATTTGTTTAATAGCCTCAGAGAAACAAAGAAGATATCACATCCATCAAAGAACAGAGTGCTATAAATAAGGAATGAACAGAATTTTTAAAAGACCACTTAGAAATTTAAAACATGATATAAAAAATGATAAACACATTAGAAATATTGGAAATTAAAGTTAATTTGGATCTTCCAGGAAGTGGAGACAAATATAAAGAGAATGCAAAATTAAGAAAATTTAAGAAACCTAATTCAGAGATAGTTCAGGAGATTCAAAATATAAATCATAGGAATTCCAGAAGAGAGACCCAGAAATAATTCAAGATAATACCCCCAAGCAAGAAGACATAAATTTCCAGATTGAAAGATCCCAGTAAATTCTAAAAATACTAGATTAAAAATCAACACATCTGGGGTTGGGGATATAGCTCAGTTGGGAGAGTGCTTGCCTCACATGCACAAGGCCCTGGTTTCTATCCCCTGCACCACCCCCACACTCAAAATCAACCCATCTGTGCCAACATTAGTTGAATATAAATTTATAATCAGTAAAAAAAAAAAGAAGAGTTTGGCACCGTTGTCAAATGCTATAGAAAAATAAGGTAAATTAGAATTGGGGATTTGACAATTAAGTAGCAAGTGAATTTAGATCGATTTCAGGTAAGCATGGCCGATATGAAATTGAGGAATGAGGCAAGGAGGTTGTAGCTTTAGAGTTGTAGAAACCCCAGTGTTGTATTACATATTTTGGGGGTTTTGTCCATGATTCCTGGCTCATTAACTCCTTCCAAAAGTAGGTCATAAAAATCCTTATCTTCCCCTGCTTTTCTATCTTAGATCTGGTCRTAAAGAAATTCTCCAACCTACCTTTCTCTGATAAACATTCCAGATGACTCCTGTGCCATATCCTGGAGAGAGGCCAAGAAGAATTTGAAAAGGCCCTTGCTGGCTTTCCCCACCTAATCTATTAGCAGTAGCAATCATGCCTATATAGTGAGGTCTCCCCAACCACCACTACCAAAAAAAGGAAGAAAAACTAAAAGATAGGGTTCTGAGTGCATCCATGAAGCTGAACACRTGGAAGCTTGCAAGAGGGCTGAGGAGAGTTCATCCATATGATGGGAAGGTGGTGCACCCCAACTCCAAAGAGATGAGAGCTCCCAGGCTCAGCCTGTGCATGGGACCCTTTCAGACCTTGCCCTGTGTATAGCCATCTGGCTTGCTTATTTGTATCCTTAAAAGTATCCTTTATAATACACCATTAAGTATTTAAAAAATCAACCCATCTAAAAATACATCATTGAGTTTTAGAACAGTAGGAACTAAAAGAAGATGCAATCGATTTACAAAGAAAAAAAGCAAAAACATCTTAATAGAAGATCCAGAATGAGAATGGTTTCATCTATAATACTGGAAGCTTAGAAAACAATGGAGAAATATCTTTGAGTTTTAAAGAATTTTATACCAATCAGATTATCGATCAACTGTGGTGATATAATGCAGACATGCAAGATTTAAAAGAAATTTTTCTCCTTTCTTGTTCACCACATGACTTCTCTCCTTGGTTCAAGATGTCCTCTCCTAAAACAAGGGAATAAACCATGAAAGAGGGAAACATAGGGTTTGGAAAATAAGAGAGACAATTTAGGAGAGAAATGAAAGGGCTCTCTCTAAGGTGACAATGAGAGAATGGGAATGATGTGACCTGAGACTCAGGCACATTGAGTGCTGCCATCTCTGTGTGTCCTCTACCATTATACCACCTTTTCTTTTTCTTTCTTTCTTTCTTTCTTTTTTTTTTTTTTTTCCTTTTTTGTACTAGGGATTGAACCCAGTACAAAATCATGCAGGGGTAATTTACCACTAAGCTACAACTGCAGTCCTTTTTATTTATTTATTTATTTTTTGACAATGAGAAAGGCTTTGTTTATTCATATGCATTCCCTCATCAATTCATAACTCCTGCCTTTTAAACTTCAAATAATACAAATATAATGTTATTTCTTTTGGTTACAGATAATTCCTAAGACATTAGGAAAACTTCTTATAGGAATTTTACCAGGGAAATGTCAGTGACTGAAACAGGAAGGCTGGGAAAAGCTTAATTTATATTTCACATACCACTCCATCATAGATGCCCTCGCAAATACAAACTATTTACATATATATCTAGCAGCAGTATCTAATATAATGTAAATTAATGTAAAATATCATTGAATTTATCCTCCATGCAGACATTCCCAAATTAACACACATTTAAAAAATATCTACCAATATGCATAATATTGAAAAGTGATTCTGATAATGTGATTTATGGGACTGACTTTGAGGAAAATCGTACCAAGAGTCTTTTGGAGGTATGGGAAGAACACACACACATATACACACACAGAGACTGAACAAGTGAAAAAGAAGATCACTTTAGAAGAAGCAGAAAAAAGAAGAAAGATTATGAAATATAGTGAAGCTCAATCATAAAGAATATTTACAGAGGCATAAAAATACAAACACTAATTACAACAAATAAAAAATTAAAACAAAAAACTCTTCTATAACCACATTGGAAGAATGGAAGAGGAAGAAAAATTTTTTATCATTTTTTCTGGGAAGAAAAATGATAAATTCTTGTTGTGGCACTGACAGGTGTGAATGGTAGGAACACACAAGATTCAGGGAATAATTCTATAAAATGGGCCCATGGTACTGAGCCCCACATGCTTTCTTTTCCAAGATGCAATGTACCTGCAGCCCTGCCTGGCCTCGGTAGACAGGCTATGTCACAGTCTGCAGGAGAAACGCAGGCTCAAAATAATGTTGATAAGAGGAACCCAAGTTACCTCGAAGGAGGAGGCTTTCGTGACCAGATCCTGAAACTCTGGAAGATAAAAATAGTTTCTCCTAGCCATAAAACCTGTAAGAATGTATCACTAGGAATCCAATTAGAACCATGGGCCAAGGTGATCTAGAGTTGCCATGACAGTGGGTACTTGAAAGTCTGATGTCACCCTGCTGTCAGTCAAAAGTCAAAAGGTGGTCCTGAGCAGGACTCTCTGGAAACTTCTCTAAGATTCCCAGTAAAACTGAAGGGCAAATGAAGAACATTGTCCCTTTCCTCTCTGAGACAACCCACTCTCTGCCTTGAGACTGTTCCTTTTTCCTTCTCCTACCCCTTCAATAAACTCACTCCTGCTACTCTGAGTGACATGTCTGAAATCTTTCTGACTTGATTGCAAGAATCAGGTTTTGAAGAGGGGTCCTTGAGCTGCCTCCATTTCTTGGAAGGCCCCAGCTCCGTAACATCCTCATCTACTAGCTGTGTAAATGCCAGAAGAAGGAGCCAAAAGAATGGAAAGTGCTTAGGGAAGGAGGATTACAGAGAACAAAAATTAGAACGAGAAATTCCTATATTAGATTATAAGCTTTTTGTACTAGTTTTTACCTATATTCAAGAGACGATTTGATAAAATAAAAATGTTATACATATATATGTAATATATATTATATACACAAAATATTACACATTTATGTATATATATACACACACACACACACACACACACACACACATATATATATACACACAATGTGTGTAAACACACATACATTTATGTATTTTTTAACATAATCCCAATGGGTCTTTCTAGGAATAGGTTCTTGAGTTTACTGTCATAACCCTACATAGGAGAACATTACTCCTCTTAAGCAAATCAGTATTGTGCTAACCCTATAGACCTTGAATTTGCCCTTTGGGGCTAAAAAATAAGTATCTCAAGATTAGTGGGAAATAACAGAGTTTATGACCCCCTAAGTACAAGCTAACTTACATAGGATTAGAAACCACCTCCTTGCTCTTGCCAGCTGTGAAGTCAGAGGCCCCAGGAATGAGAGCAATTTGGGAATGGGAAGAGAGGCTGGGAGCTGAGATCCCGGGAGATGGGACCCTCCCTGTCCAAAAGGCGCCCACCCCCAACCCCACCCCCACCCCCCACCCCCGCCCCGTGCATGCTGCTGTGTGGAGATTCTAGCTTATTTTATGAAGGAAAGTGGTTCCCTGGGACATCTACATTGTTTTATAGCTGCCTTTGTTTATCCATCTCTTCCTAAAGCAGTGACTCTCAATAGGAACAATTCTGGCATGTACATCCCATACCAAATGAAGGGCCTTTGGAAATATCCGCAGGCATTTTTGGTTGTCAAGGCTGGAGGATGGGGGAAGCTACTGGCTTCTAGTGGGTAGAAGCCAGTGATACTGTTCTGCAAGGCACAGGACAGCCCATTCCCCACCACAACTGAGAATTATCTGGTCCAAAATGTCAATAGAGTCAAGTTAAGAAGATCTGCCTAAAAGATGTGATATTCCTTGAAGGCAGGAACCATATCTATTTCATCTCAGTCTTCCAGTGCTAACCCAGTGAATGGCAGAGGAAAGGACAAATGGTTGGAAAAGTGAACAGGCACATCTAACTTAGACTCTGTCATATGAGCCTATGACACTGTCAGTCAATCTCAGTAACTGGTACTTATCTGGCACGGAAGGAAAACTCTCAGTACTCATTCATCCCACAAATATCTACCAAGTGCCTTTCATAATTGTACAACATGTTTAGCAAGGCCCTACCTCTATGCCAGGCCAGGTGCAAGAAAGAGGATGAGTGAGAATGGACTTCTGTCACCTCAGGGACAAAAGAGGTATAAGAGTCAAAGTGTCACTTACAAAAGCATCTCACTGTAGCTATCCACAAATAAGGTCTTCATAGATGGCCGCCTCTGCAGGAAATATTGAATCTGAAAGTGAGAAGACAGAGCAAGGTCCCAGGAAATGTTAGATGTGACTCAATGAGGAGCCCCCAGAATGCTTCCTAAATGCATCATAATGAGACACTGGAGTGTGTTAAAACAGAGATTATGAAGAGTGGAACAGCATGGCTCAGGCTACTGGGGTGACATTATGTGACTTGGAGTGATTTGTTTTAAAAATATAGAGTGGAATTACAACTATACCTAGAAGTAAATTCAGGAAGGAAAAAAATCACTAAAATGATATCAATCACTGGGATTTAAAGGAGAGACTAGGAAATTTTTTTTTCTAATTGCTTTTTTTCTCACTTTTCTTTAAATAAACATTATAGTTAAACTGTTCTATCCTGCCTCCAGTGCACTTTAATCACCAGATTAGCCACTGGGGCTGGGAGGTCCCCATGAGGACACACACACACTTCCACCTCCTCCCACAGATTAACCCTCTGTTTGTCATGCTCACGCTCAACAGCTGCACCTGCTGCTGTGGCTTTATACTTTATTATAATACATACTCTGTGAGAAAAGAGAGAGTGTTGTTTCTTCGAAGACAAAGTCCAGTGATTTGTAAACACTCCATAACAGTGCCTCACCAATAAAGCAAAATTTTTTAAAAGTAGATATAGCTTAGACCAAAAAGACTAGAAGTCAAAAATTATAATCTCAAATTCTGCATTCAGATCTCTTGGTATGCATATAAGCTCCTCTCTATTATGAAAACATAAATGATATTTTCATTATAGGTTTGGCTTTTGCAGGCACGGTGACATAAAATTCCAAACCATGGACCTGCATCCAAAGAAAAGCCTGCTGCTATGTGAGAATGGCCAAGAAATATGCTTGCATGAGTTTGCAATTAAAATAAAATACTTCTGATATATGAGTAAGTTCCCTTCATTGTTCTGAGCTTTAACAGACTGTTTGATGAGTTAGACTATCAGTTATGATCCTATTACTTAAAACATTTCCACCCTATACATGTAATTAAATATTATATTCAAGCTGGGTGTGGTGGCACATGTCTATAATCCCAGCGAGTAAAGAGACTGAGGTAGGATGATTGTAAATTTAAGGATAGCCTCAGCAATTCAGCAAGGCTCAAAACAACTTAGCAAGACCTTGTCTCAGAATAAAAATGATGAGGCTCAGCCCCTGAGTTAAATCCCCAATATATATTACATTCAGTGGGAGGCTGGCCAACGAGAACCACTACTGTCTATCTCAACAGTGACTGCCCTGGGCCAGTGGGGACAGGCAATCCCTGAACCTAATCATCAATGCCTGAAGGAACCTCAGCTTCATATGCACACCCTCAGCAACACCAGCCAGGCCATTATGAATACAATAAATAAAAAGGTGAGTGAGTGATGAGCAATTCCTTTGGCTTTTCATCTCAGTGATAATGAAAAGTCACAGTGTGGGAAAGAATGCTTACCCCTCGGAGAAAAAAGTAGACTCCCCCAGATACAGACAGAATCTCTCCAGTGACTCGGAAATAGTCTCCAACTGTGTTTTTCAGCTTGTAGGGAGGCTGTGAGGTGCAGAGAAGTTGGTGACTCCATTCACTCATTTACTCGACAAACATTTACCAGGTGCAAAGCCCTGTAATTAAGACCCAGCCTCTTCCTGGGAGGCACAGCCTCCAAAAGGAGAGACATAAAGATAATGCATTATTATTATGGGGACACCTGCAAGGAGGCCCCTCTGTGGGACCTGATTTCTCCACAGTGGCAGAGTCCAGGTGCTAAGTGAAGCATGTGTACCATGCTCTACTGTCTCCCAGGCAATGTCCCTGCTCGGAGCTCTGCTTGACTGGGAGTTGTGTGATGGGACATGAGGAGACATCTCACAGACCCAATGCCATATGAATCCTGCTGCCTTCACTGCCCAGGGTGCACACCTGGTCACCCAAGAGTGTCAGAGTTTTCCAAGGATGAGGGAGAGAGAAACCATCCCCCACACACCTAAGGGTGCAGTTTCCACCATTTTCTGGAGTGGATGTTTGATAAGCATTATTAGTTCACTAACTTGTCTTTAGTACATTTCTCCTTTCTTTTAAAATGAAGTCATTAATTGGTCTTATTAGGTGGATAGAAATCAGGCTTCACCTAACTATGAAACTGAGTTTTAAAACTAAATTTAAAAGCAAGATGTCCCAGGGGGCTGGGGATGTGGCTCAAGCTGTAGCATGCTTTCATGGCATGCGTGCGGCCGGGGTTCGATCCTCAGCACCACATACAAACAAAGATGTTGTGTCCGCCAAAAACTAAAAAATAAATATTAAAAATTCTCTCTCTCTCTCTCTTTAAAAAAAAAAGGCAAGATGTCCCAGAAATAAAAGCAGCAAATTAAGTGTGTTCTGGGTATTAAATGAGACCGAGTTTCAATTCAAAAACTCAATGAAGTTCATGGCTCTTCATAGAAGTAAAAATATATATATCTGGTTTTAAGCTAACTTGATGGATGGCCCAGGGTGGACCAGAAGAAGTAACACAACTGCACTTCTTTCCTGATCTAGGAAATAAATTAGGAGCCACRGAATGCATAAAACAGGGCAGACGAGCAGGGTAGCAAGGGTGTGAGGCCTTCTGCCATCCCAGGACCCTGGAGCCAGTCCAGGGGTCAGCTGCTTCCTGACCTGCATTCTTTCTCAGTATTCCCCTCCCAGACAATCAGGGACCTCAGTGGTTACATGCTCAGCCTCCCAGGACCACAAGGCTAAAGGAGAGGTGCCTAGATAGGAAAGGAGTGGGTGCCTAGGATGGCCTGGGACAGGGAAGACTGAGCCCAAGGAAATAACGACCTGTGGATGATCCTTCCACCACTTCAGTGAGCCAGGAAGGAGTCCAGGGCAGGTTCTGGCCCAGAACATGAGGGTCTTATGGAAATGTCCACATCCCCACCCCGTTCCCACCACCAAGGCCCACAGTTAGGCCGCACCAAGCCATCCACAGGCCTATAGTAGGCGGCTGTGGTGAAGACGATCATATACAAGCAGTAGACAAAGAAGTTGAAGTAGAAAATGCGCTTGACAAATCTGTCCCACTTGTCCTGCAGGAGTCGGTTCAGAGGCTCCACCAGGAGCATGTCATGGCGATTCTAAAGGAGTAGAAAGAAGCCAGGGTTACTCCCCCACCAGGAACTGCTTTACACCAGCCCGTGGCACACTCACATCCATGTCACCCACTTCTCAGACCACCCAGCAGCTGAGGGTTACCAGAGGTCTGAACTAGTGGGCAGCCAGTGGGCTGGCTGGCTTTCCCACCCTTGTGACCTTGGTGTCCCCATGTGTACAATGAATGAGGGGAAAATGGACACAACCTAAGTGCTCACTTAAGGAGCCACAGCATTGCTCAACATTCTGAGTCCATTATCCCTGATGACTTATTCCCGAGACCCTTTATCCTTACTGTTCCCATAAAAATGGGAAGAAGCTGGTTCAGGCAGAGCCTGGCACAAGGCTTCTGGGGGAGAGGCTGAAGCAGGGCAGGAAGGAACCTCTGGATTCTTCATTTCACACATTTCCAGCCCTGGATCAGGTAGGGGTGACAATTACGCAGGAAATGTGAAAGGACCTTGCAGACCCTTCCAATAGCAGGAGCTCCATGCCCAGATACTGTCTTTACAAGTGTGCTTTGAGGCAAGTCTCATATCCAGAGACTGTTAAGGTTGAGGTGTCCTCAGGATATATGAGCCAAAATCAGTCATCCTGACCTCTCCCAGGCCATGGAGGTCAAGCCCCAGCCCAATGTTGAGCTCTCTCAATGTGGTCCCTGTTCAGTGTCTTCTTGAATACCTTTAGAAACAGAAACCTCCCTACTCCCTCAAGAAGCCTATGGAGAAAAACTAACTGTAGACATCTATTTTTGGAGTAAAGTTGGCCTTCTGTACTTTCCACAAATGATCCCAGCTGTAGCTGGATGGCCCCAGGACAAGCCCGCACTCCTGGCCCCCGAGAGTCTTTGGAGACATGAAGATGACAGAGGTAGCCCCAAAGCTATCTCTTCCCCAGGTYAAACTTCTCAGTCATTTTTTGAAGCCATTTCCTCTCTGGACCACCTCTCTGGGAACTCTTGCATCTGAGACTCTGAGACAGAGGCCAGATCCAGCATGGTGGCCCAAGTGAGGACCAAAAGGGCAGAGCAGGGAAACTTCACTTTTGCTGGACTCTGCTCCTATAAATATACCCTATGAGACACATGGCAGCCCCTCATTGCTGACAGCAGAAACTCCAGCCCCCAAGTCTGCTTTAGGAGCTTGGAGTATCACCTTAGAAAGAGGAGACAGGTGAGGTGGCTTTTCAAGGCAGTAAACAAGATGGCATTGAGATCTTCATTTGGAACCAGAATAATTAAGCAAAACACCATCCTCACACCTACACAAAGACATTCCAGATAAAGTGCCAAACATAAAATACCTATAAACAAGTAAAAAGAAAATATAGAAAGTATGTGTATAATCTTTCAGTGGAAAAGATCCTCCTTAAGTAAGTCACAAGAGAAGAAAAAGTCACTAGAGAAGAAAAAAGCTGACCAGTCTGACCCTATTAAAATGAGAACCTTTTATAAGAAAAGGATGCCATAAATGAAGTTAAAAGCCAAGAGACAGACTGGGAGAAAATAAAATACTTACAACACTTCCACAGAGAAAGGATTGATTCATTATTAAGGAGAACATCTATAAAACAAAACAAAGGAAGCAAATGGTCCCATTGAAATTACAAAGGACTATGAATAGGAAATCACCAAAGAAACATGAAAGGTCTATAAACACATAAAAAAAATGCTCTAACTCATGGCAATCAAGAAAATGAGAATTCAGATATCAATGAGATAGGATTTTTGGCTCCACGGTTTTAAAACTAGCTCTTAAAAAAGATTGCTTAGCATGATGCTGCACATCTGTAATCTCAGTGACTCAAGAGGCTAAGGCAGGAGGATCAAAAGTTGCAGGCCAGCCTTAGCAACTTAATGAGAACCTATCTCAAAATAAAAAATAAAAAGGGTTGGGGATGTGGCTCAGTGGTAAAGGATCCTTGGGTTCTACCCCCAGTATCAAAAGAAGGAGAAGGAGAAGGAGGAGGAGGAGGAGGAGGAGGAGGAGGAGGAGGAGGAGGAGGAGGAANGAGGAGGAGGAGGAGGAGGAGGAGGAGGAGGAGGAGGAGGAGGAGGAGGAGGAATAATAATGATGATGATAATATGCAGGTCAGCATACAGTTGTATATCTACAGGTGATAGACACATCTATTGATTCAGTAGCTATGAAAATATTAAGTGAACATACTTTTCAATTTGGCAATTCCAATTCCACATATCTTTCACTGAAAATATCTTAAGCCTATGGCCAAGTGGCCTGCAGCATTGTAGTAGCAAAAACTGCAAATAACTCAAATATCCTTGTATAGACATTTACTCCTTACCCCTACTATGAATACTAGGCTAAAGTATAGACCCATATGTGCTAGATATAAAACTATCCACAAGACACAATTAAGTAAGAAAATTGGGGGGGGGGCTTTTTTGCTTCAAGATTATACACATATCCTTCTATACTTTCTGTTTACTCCTTTATAGCTATTTTATGTTTGGAATTTTATCTGGAATGTCTTTCTGTAGGGATGAGGATGGGATTTTATTTAATTACATTTTGGCCTCAGTGCCACTTATCGAATAGTCCATCGTGCCCACTGCTTTGAAAAGCCACTCACCTGCTTCCTATATCTGAGGTGATGCTCTAAGTTCCTAAAGCAGACCTAGGGGCTGGAGTCTGCTTTCAGCAATGATTTCCATTTATGTAATCAAAATGAAGCTATGTGTTTAGAAAAGGAGGATTGTTTCTACTATGCTCTTCTGAAATGTTCCTATTTTTCTGGTATAAAAATCATCAGGAAAGCATTTGGTAGAAAGGAAGGGGGAGATGAGGCTGCAGGACATGGGCCCTGGGCAGTAGGTTTTCACCCTGAGAAACCAGGTAGAGGGATGGGGATGTGGCTCAAGTGGTAGCGCGCTCGCCTGGCATGCGCGCGGCGCTGGGTTCAATCCTCAACACCACATACAAATAAAGATGTTGTGTCCACTGAAAACTAAAAAATAAATATTAAAAAAAAAGAAACCAGGTAGAGCCAGACCAGGGCTAGAGTGAGGCTGGGTGCAACATAACTGGAGCCCTCCCTGGCTGGGTGTCAGTCCTGGCCACTCACAGGGGTCTCGCTGCTGCTGTAGGCAATCACTTCCAGCACTGAATTCTTCTCACAGGTATCGATGCAGGACAGGTCATAGAGTGAGGAGTGCACGGGCCCATAGGCCCACTCAGTGAACTTCCTAGACAGGTGTCTGCACTCAGGCTCCTGGATCTCCCTCTGGAGAATATAGGCCAAGACCTGCGCTGGGCGTAAGAACAGGTTAGAAACCAGCTGGGGGCCCAGCTCCACACAGGCTGCAGCTCCGTGCAGTCAGTCCACGAATGCTGCTGGGAAAATCAATCTTTTCCCACCCAGGCAAGCCCCCCACCTGCTCCTGACCGCCACCAAAATGGACCTGCTGCTGCCTCAGACTCTAGTGGCAGCCACATCAGACCCACCACATCTGGGCCCCTAGTTCTACCATCCCTCAGTGAAGGACAGCCAGAAAACAGAAAAGAAAATCCAAGAAATAAAACCAAGGGCATAAAGTCAGACTCCTGTGAGGCTCAGACGAGCATGGACAATCTTGCAGAATGCCCTGGTATTGAGAAGCCCCTTTCCTCCAACTCCCAAGAGTCCCAACCCTTCCATCAGCCTTCCATGGCCTGGCATCATCTATGTACCCCCATTGGATTTGGACTTGGCCTACCCGAAACCATCCCCTCAGGGCATTCCCTGTTACCATAAAACCATGCTTGCCATGGAAAAACACCAACAGCAACTTTTTCTTTCTCTCCCTAGTTTCCGCCAACGCTATCCCAGATAGGCCCCAGCCCCACCCGGACCCCAGGGACTTGGTRATACTGAAGAGTTGGAAATCAGAAACGGCCATGTCTGCTTTGCTGGTTTTGCTCAGCAGCTCACAGTCTYTCTGACTTACTCTAATAGCCCCATGGGCACACACCATCCTCTCCCACACCACCCACACCATGAGCTGTCCCCAATTCAGGATAAAGTTCCCTCCCTACCCCAATCTTCCCACTGCTGGCAGCCAGAGCCAACGGTGTGAGCCCCTTCTTGTTGATGAGTTCCTCCAACTTCAATGTAGGGTGGAGCTTGGCTCCCAGGATCAGGATCTCGTTGTACATGCTCGTCACAAACTTGGTGTTATCAGCCGTGTTGTCTGCCACCTCCACTAGGGCGTGCAGCACTGTGTTGCCCACTGAGTCCCTGGCGCTGATGTCGGCCGGCTGCCAGGAGTTCTGCAGCAGGAACTTCACAATGGCCAACTGGTTGGTGCATGCAGCCAGGGAGAGGGGCAGCTCACCTGCAGCCAACACGGGGCTCATGGTGAGACTGGCGGTCCCTGAACCACAGGGCCTCCAACTCCCTCTGCCTCAGCCTCTGACTCTGCCTCTGCCTCTGCCTCAAACATCCCATTAGCAAAAGTGAAAAAGCCAAGTGTCTGCCATATGGCATTCCTACCAAAGTAAAAGCCAGGTCGCCCCTTGGTTTTCTTGAAGAAGTCCCCATTTGCAGCAGCCTGGACATCTGCTCCATTCTCCACCAGGAGGGTCACCAGTGCCATGTTCCGCCTCTCAATGGCAATGTGCAGTGCCGTCTGGCCTATGGAGGATGCTCACAGTTGGCTTTGTGATCATAGTCCTGTAGGGGCTGGGACAGGTACACCCAGGAAAGGGCCCTGGGCAGGCAGCAGCTGCTACTGAAGGAACTGGACAGAAAGTATGTCAATGACCCCTCCCCACCCCAGAAGGCCAAGCCAGGATCCTCAAAGGAGACCCAGGAAGGTCTTGAGACAGGATAGAGACTCCTGAGAACAAGAAGGTACAGTTGTCAAAACTGCCCAGGGGCAAGGAATGGTAGTAGAGAGGCCAAAGGTCATGATTTCCAGGGCCAGGGACCACCAAATCAGCAGGAGGGAGGCAGGGACCCCAGGGCCAAGGGAGAAAACTGCAGAAGATGAAGGCAGCCATCAGAACCAGGAAAAACCAACAGTGTCTGGTACAGGGAGTCAGGAGCTCAGGGGAATAAGAGCCCCCCTCTGGTTCCAGGTGGACTGATCCATGCCCAACTCTGCCACCCTCCTCACCCTTGTAGTAGCTGTCTGTGTAGCTGGCATTGACAAACTCCTTCAGGCTGTCTGTCTGCCGGGCAATGTCCAGGAGCAAAGAGATGGTGTCATTCTGCCCATTGTGCAAGTTGAGCATGGCTTTCAGCAAACAAGTCTTCCCTGTCTCGGGGTCTGAAAGACAGACTGAGAGTCAGAGAAGACCTGGGCAAAGGGCCCCTCCCAGGAAGCCAACCCTCTGGGGGCCACCTTTGAACTCGCTGTCCGTGAGGCGCTTCCTGCTCTTCTGGAGGAAGGGCAGCAGGCTCTCCAGCTCCTGGCAGTTATTCTGAGCGACAGCATCAAATATACTCCTGCGATCATAGAGCTTGAGGGGCTTCTCAGCACCAGCAGAGACAGAGTCCTGGGACAGCTGCCTGGGGACAGATAAGGCCTTCATCACATACCTTCATGTCTCCTTGGTCCAGGGGCATTTGTAGCTTGTCAGGAAAACATGACCAAACCCCAAGGCAAACCAAAGGGAAAATATAAATATATGTATATATATATATATGTGTGTGTGTGTGTGTGTGTGTGTGTGTGTGTGTGTATCTCCCAAAGTCACACCTCAGCTTAGGTGACCTTCCAGGATTCCAATGTAGCAGGGACCCTTGGTGTATGTGTCTCCCTTCTGTCCCCACACTGTAGGTGTCATTGATAAAGTCTTCACCACTGCCACCTCCGCTAACACCCAGCTCATTTGCTTCTCTGCTGGGGCTCAGGGGGCAGTAACCTGGAGGGCACTGGAGGCAGGGGTTTGCATGGCCCCTGCTAACTATAAAGGCATCCTACCACTTCCCAGAAATCAGCCAGCCTGTGAGTCCTCCCTGCCTTGCGGTCTGGAGAATACAGGAGGACTGGTGAGCTTCTCACTGGAGCTGTTTTGTCCTGTCGAAAATATCCTGACCTTGAGTCAAGTGTCTAGGGCTGGTAAGCATTCCAGGCCTGAATTCCTAGCCATCAACGGGCAACTAGGATCAGCATATACACCAACAACAGTAACCAGGAGTCCCAGGGGTCTTAAGAGTGCAGACTCTGGGGTAGACCACCTCCCAAAGCTCTTCAGCTTCCCAGATCTGTGGCCTTTAACCTAGAAGTGGGACCACTTGTCTTGTATCCATGATTGGGCCTGCTGCCCCTAGAGCTGGTTGGGACCCTGGCAGGGAGGGGACTCTAGACTTACCTGACACAGGTGAGAGCATCCCCAGGCCTCTGGATGATGACAACTGAGCTGACTGTGATGGTTGGGCAGGAGGCCAGCTCACCTTCCTCATAAGAGCAATCCATAGGAGATGCTTCCTCTGAATCACCCTTCCCAAAGAGCCGAGTGCGGCTCTTGGTCGTGGAGAAAATGTGAGGCTTGGCTGGAGATTGCTTGGAGTTAGGGTCTCCATCAGGGGGGTCTGGGCAGGAATCCTCGTGGGGTGGGTCCTCAGACTCACCTGAGTCTAAGTTAGCCCACTTCTTCATCCTTGCCAGATCCTCTGTGGATCAGTATGCAACCTGTGGACAGCCGCAGAGATGGGGTTTGTTTGCAGCTTGACTGCACATCCTCAGCCCCTACCTGCTTTCCTGTCAGGTTTCTTGTGAAGCAAGACATCCCAAAAGTTCAACCATTGCTTCYCCCAGCACCCCCGAACTAAAGATTTCGGGACTGTACTTCCCACCCCTGGACCCCAGGGTGAGCAGCTCACAGGCTCAGGGCTTGGGGTAGAAGGATCTCTCCTCTGGGATTCTCTAGGCTCAGTTGGCTCATCCACAGAGTGAGGATGAGTACCACTGCCTGCCTCCCTCCCTTGATCAGAACAAAAGCAGCCATCAAAGTGGTTGTTACCAACTACATTCAGGAAGGAGGTCGGTCATGAGGAAATCTCAGCCCCAAAGAGTCAAGTGGTCTGCATCCTGGAACATAGATAGTAGAGTGACACCTACTCTCTGCACTAGGCTTCCCTCCTACCTCAGGTGCCCAGGTGCTACATGCACCACCTGCCTCTGCCCTTCAGCCTGGCCACCACAACCATTGACATAAGAAGGGGCTTGTCTACGTGTGTGCACGCACTCAAGCACAGGTTTTTTGTCATTTTGTGAAATTAGTGTATTTCAGGCATCCCTGCCTGCACTTTCAGACATGAAGTGATTTGGGGCTTGTGGGCCCTCCAGGCCTGAACCCCAGTAGATAAGCTGTCTGCTAGGGTCCACACATACAGCTGTAAGCAGGTGCTCATGCTCTTTTCCACCTCCTCCCTGCCTTCATTTCCCATGCTTCCCTCCCACCCAGCTGGGCATCCTACTCCCTGATATCCAGGCCACCCCACCCCAGGGGTCTTTGCTCCTATGGGACCTCACTTGGGGTGCTCTTTCTTTCTTCTCCCCTCACTCAAATCCTATCATCTCTTAGACAGCCTCTCCCCTCGAGGTATGGTACTGCTACAGCCTGCACAAGACCTCCTAATCCCTGCATGGGTCATGCCCCTCCCGACTCCAGAGGGCCTGGTTCATTGTCCATTCACTGTCATAGCCTTATCCCAGTTCAGCACGTGGTCCACAAATTCTATCTGTCACTGCTTTACTTCTCCTGAACCCTGCAAACTTCTCCTGAGCAGAGACCTTGCCTGATCTGTCCTGTTATGAAAAGGCTGTTCTGGTCTCTGTGGGAGAATTGAGAACAATTAGACACAGAGCCTCTTTATTTTTATTTCTGCAGTGAGTTGGGGAGATCAACATTCCAGCCATGTCTGGGAAATAGCCACTGAAGGACTAAGAGGCAGCTCAAGTCCTGCATTTTCAAGTGAAAGTTCAACAGTGAAAACTCAGAGCATATGGCCAGGCCATGGCAATAAATCAGCTATGATCTGATGCCCAGATCATGTTAAAAAAGTAAGCCCGCCTCATTGCTCTGCAGCTTGTAAACAGAGCAGACAGCTGAAGACAGTCCATTCTCCTTCCCCTGTGGTCTGCTCTCAGGAGGGCCTGAGTCTCTCCCTAACTCACCCATGAGATAGAACCCTGTAGCAGGGAGTGTTCCCTGCCACAGAAAGCCCCCTTACAGCCACTCCCCCCACCTGTTCATCCCATCATTCAACCCATCTGCTGAGCCTCCTAGGGGCCCAGCTCTGTGCTGGTGGGTCTAAAAGGAATCATGTCCCATGGGAGACAGAAACCAGAGTCTGCCTGGGACAGGAAGGATGGAGGTGCTGAAGGAGGCTTTGAGGAAGAAAGACAGACAAGGTGGGCCTGGAAGGAAAGCAGACGGAACAGAGGCTGGGGAGATGGCAGAATCTCAGAGCAGCTGAAGAGCAAGTCAGAGGGACTATAGGGCAGGCTGTGGGTTAGAACCTGATGGCTGGAGGTCTCGAAGGCCAAGAAAGAGAATGTGGACATTATTGTGTGGATGGCAGGAAGCCACTAGTAGCTTCAAAAGCATGGAGATCTGTGCTTTCAGAAGATAACTTTCTGTCAAGGACCACCCATAGTATAGGAAGCCTGTAGTCATTTAAAAGGCACAGGAGACTGAGAGTGTAGCTTAGTGGTAAAGCATGGTCTTAGCATGAGCAAGGCCCTAGGTTCAATACCCAGCATTAAATAATAATAATAATAATAATAATAATAATAATAATAAATATTAATAAAAATATAAATAAATGCAAATAAAAGGCATAGGAGGAGAATGGGAATAGGAATAGCCAGCATGTTTGAGCATCCTCCATGCACAAGGCAGACAGCCCTTCTGTGCCCTTTACCTGCATACACTCAATTCTCCCAAGAGCTCTCAGATGTAAATATTTCACAGATGTGGAAGCTGAGGCCCAGAAAGGTTATGTTACTTTCCTGAGATCACACAGATAGAAAGAGGTGGAACCTGGATCTGATCCCAGCTGGCCTGACTCTAGAGCATCGCCAGTACTCGACTACCTCTCTGAAAGGCTTGGCGTTCTTTCTCGAACATTAAACTCAGCCCCAGACCCCACACCAGAAGCTCGGGGCTGATCAGACCAGGAACTCCCACCCCTGGGGCCAGGTACAAGCCCTAAACTTGAAGTACTCTCCCACTCAGACAAGCATCCTAAGAAGCTCAAAACCCAAAATGCAAATAAGACCCAGGTCACATCCCATGCTAGGCTTTCCCTGGACTGTCCATGGTCTCCTCTTGGGTAAGGCTGGCTGCAAAAGAATAAACTAATCCCTGCCTAGCAGCACCTATTAGCAGGAGTCTCCGTGAATCTTTCAGTGACATTGTTGGTTAGGGGCTTTGTCTCTCCCTCTGACTTGTCCCAATTTAACCAAACCTAGTAAATAGGAAGCAGCCCATGAGGTACTGCCCTTCAGTCCATCATTTGTGATTATTCACAAACCATTCAATTGCTACTTGAAGCAAGATAAGCACCAAATAAGCACCAAATAAGCACCACACACTCTATACATAATTTCCTACTGGAATCAAGCTTCTCCCAGGAATGAAAAGGAGCCACTTGCTATAGGGTGGACGGAGGAACAGGGACAGGATTGTCTCACTGCCAGGCCTGGGTGTGCCCTGCACATGAGTCCCACAGCAATGCACTTGTCACATCTGAACCCTTGACAGTGATCACGGGGGGTTCCAACTGTGTTGTCTGTGGACACACGTTGGTCTTCTAATGGAAGTGGGGATTCTGGTTTATGCCAGATTCACAAATTCATCAAGATGCACTAAAAGCGGGGCTGGGGATGTGGCTCAAGCGGTAGCGCGCTCGCCTGGCATGCGTGCGGCCCGGGTTCGATCCTCAGCACCACATACCAACAAAGATGTTGTGTCCGCCGAGAACTAAAAAAAAAATAAATATTAAAAACTCTCTC